GCCAGAGCGGGCCTGGGGAGCAGCCTTCCCCTTCTCGGCTGAGGCGGCTGGAAGTGCAGGCTCGCAGTTAGGCAATACACGGTGGCGAGGTGGAGTTACTTCTGTCTTCCTGGTTGTAAGTTTGCTCTGCTGTGCTCGGGTGTGACTGTCTAGAGGTAAAGCTGAGCTGAGGTTCTGTTGCGCCCTTTTCTCCCTCTGCCCTTCTTTCTCTCTCTCCTCAAAGCCCCTTTCCTCTGAGAAGGAGAATGGCTACCAGTGCATTTTAAGCTTGGGATACAGACCCCCTGTGGGTGGCATCTCTGTGTCCCTTGACCCCTGTATGTGCCCCCTGTCAGTCTCCCTGTTGGGAATCAGGGAGAGGGCATGTCCTGCTTACTGTGTAAGGAAACCGGCCTGTTGAATGAGGAGTGGTGGGTAATCCTAAATGGTTGTGATGTTAATTTTGCAAATAATAAGTAGACCAAAATGCAGTATTTTTAAATACCATCTTAGGTACCTTTAGGCAATAACTTCTTAATATTATTTAGCTCTTATGTATTGCTCTACTGTGTCGTGTTCTCAATTACAATGGCACTCATTGTTTTTCTCATGGTTAGAAACCAGAGCATAATGTTTGTGTGTATGTTGCTATAAGATCTTATTTTGACCAGTTATCTGCATAATTATAATTTCATTACTAGTTACTCTGGTTACTGATAGCATACATTTTGTGAAAATCCTTCAATTTCAGAACAGGGCTGTTCAATAAAAATATATTGTGAACCACATTGGTAATTAGAAATTTTCTATTAACTACATTTTTTAAAAAAGAAACAAATGAAATTCATTTTTATAATGCTTCATTTTATTTACTACACTCAAAATGTTGTTTTAGCATGTGATCAGCGTAAAAGTCAGTATTTCCAAACATGCCTTGAAATCTCAGTGTCTTATACTCAGATGCCTATTCTAAAGCCATGTTTCAAGGGTTGTACTGGATGGCACGGTTGTAGGCTGACAGATACCAGTCCACCAACAGCCATAACCTGCTGTATGTTCCTGAACTGACTTCTAGTTGGTATGTACAAAGCTTCTGCTTTCAGCTTTAGTGACTGATGTGCTGTCTGCTAACATGCAGTGGCAGAGAAGGCATAACTTCTGCACCTCACTTTCCTTCCCCAACTGGGAAAGGGATAGAACTACCATAGATTGAGTTAATCACGTTCGTGTCTGTGTAAAATAGAAGCTAATGTATCACATAATAAATTTTGAGTTCAGTCTTACTGGGCCGGGTTATATTGTGCATTACTATTTAGAAACTGGGCATAAATTAAGTGGTTTAATGAATTGTATCTTACATATTTTTTTATCCTAGGCTAACGTGTTATTTCTATTCAGATGAAATGGGCAGGTATTAAGGGGGCTCCCTACAGCTAAGGAATTGTAAGGGCTCAGCAGTTGGGTTTTCCTTTGCACCTGTCCAGTAGCTGTCCATTTCCAGTATGTCTGGCTTTCTCTGCTGTCCAGGTTGTCAGACCAGGACTACTGTGGCCAGATTGACACAGCAAGCCTCTTATAGTTGGGCCAACAGTATGGTATTGGGGATGAAAGTAACTATCCTTATGCTCTGATGCAGATGATCAGAAATTCCTTAGTGGTTTTTCATCTCAAGTTACTCCTCTATAATTTTGTTTTTCTGAAATAACCACCAGAGGCATTGTAAATTCTCTACAGCAGTTGTGTTCACAGATTTTTACAGAAGGTATGTGACTGAGCTGCACAGGAAATGAGCTCATCTATCATCTGATATGATTAGGCTTTCTAACTTTCTAAACTAATTTTACGAAGATGTATTGCTAATTCCTATGTAATAGACATGTATCTGTTCCTTCTTCACTTATTAAAGAATTCATCCATTCATTAAAGCTTTAGACTCCTTATCCCAGTAAATATGCACTCCAGGGGAACATGGAAAACCCCATGTGAGCACAAATGAGAAGAGATGGCGGCTGGTGGGTGGCAGGTGAGCCTAAGGGTCGAATGAATCTGGGCAGATTCATGGCATCAGAAGGATGTTTTGTGTGGAGAGAATGACAACATCAGGAACATGAGTCAGCGTAGGGTGGTGTGGAGCATGATTGGGAGTGGTTTGTACTTGAACCCGAGCTGGGGAGCCTCAAGTGCCTATGCAGAGGCAGCTGTGACCACGGAGAAGTCAGGTCAGATGGTTCCCACTAGGCTTTAGGAGAGGCAAACACCTCTGCTGCAAGACGGTGTCCTGGTCTTGCTGGAGGTTTCTGAAATTCATGATCAGTTTACTTTAATATTTAAATTTGGACTTGCAGATTTCATGTTGTGTGTAATATTGTAAGTTGCCTAATTAAAGCAGCACAGGATTTTAGGTTACTTAGATGTACTTGAGACGAACATGGGGTCTGCAACCTCACCATGTGTAGTAGATGTCTAGAATGTCATTTTAATGTGGTAGGTTTAATGGAGTCCTTGGGCTGTGATTCCTGAATGTCAGATTGATTGAAGACGTTCCTGACAAGAGCAGCCTGCAGTAGTCAGGGTTGTCATGGTCCTTCCTAGATGAGCTTGAGTACCAAGGAGCCCCTGCAGATGGGCACCAGGGAGAGGCAGAGCAGAGTTGTTGTGTCATAAAGAGTCGTCTTATTACAGTTTGTCTAAGTAGGCAATTGAGGGTCTTTTATATTCATGGCAATATTCTAAAGCATACCAGAAATGGGGAAAGGAATCTTGATTTATTGTTTTAAAATATGTGTTTGTTATTTTTACTAAAATACTCCTATTGCTAGCACATGAGGATAGTTTTTATTATTTAAAGTACAAAGTCAGTGTTGTATTAATCAAAAGATACTACTACGTGAAAACATGGGTAATTAAGAGCCTATTCCCACCAGCAGTGGTATTCTGACATTCAGTAAGCATTGCTTTTCTATCAGTCAAGCAGGAAACAGAACAACAAAGTCTTGTTTTAGAACTTTAAAAAAATCTGAGCCCGGCACAGTTGTGCAGGCCTGTAATCCCAGCGGCTCAGGAGGCTGAGGGAGGAGGATGATGAGTTCAAACCACCCTCAGCAAAAGCAAGATGATAAGCAACGCAGTGAGACCCTGTCTCTAAATAAAGAATACAAAATAGGGCTGGAGATGTGGCTCAGTGGTCTGAGCCTGGTTACCCCCGCCCCCCCCCCCAAAAAAAAATCTGGCCTAAGTAACGAAACAGTTATGTAGCAGTACCAGAAAAGGAAGGGGGTTCAGTGTCCTGGCAGAGTGATTGATGCCTACAAGCAAGCAGAGGCCCTCCTGGCGGTAGGCTCCATCCAGGCAGCCATGTCTCTCTTCACATGTGCAAACACAGAGCTCATAGCAGGAGGGGCACGCAAGGGAGGCTTGTTGAATGAGCAAAATGGTCATTTGAACAGCTGTGTTGTGCAACTAAGAAGTTGTTTGTATCTCACAAAGATATCAATATGTGACACTTGGACTAATTAGATCATTAACCCAGTTTAACAGCAGCTGGGGCTGCCTTAGAAGTCAGGTCCTGGACTGGGGTTATAGATCAGTGGTAGAGTGCTCACCTCTTATGTGGAAGGCACTGGGTTCCATTTTCAGCACCACATAAAAATAAAATACAGTTATTGTGTCCATCTACGACTTAAAAAAAAAAAAAAAGAAGTCAGGTCCTGTATGCGCCTTGGGCCCCTTAACCAAAGAAAGTGGTACATGCACAGGTGAGGTTTTAGAAGTCAGGTCTTGTGTGTTCCTGGGTCCCTGACCAAGGAAGGTGGTACCTGCTCAGGTGAGGTCAGGAAAAATGTATAGTTTACTGATTTTGCTAAGTGACTGTCTGAGGTCAGAAAATTGCCATTTGTTGGGTACCTAGTATGGGTTCATTCTGTCTGAAAGGTGCAGGATTTGCCCTGCTCCAGGGAGGCTTCTGTGGCTGTCGTGGAGAGTGATTACTTTCCAGTGCTGGGCTACCTTATGGGGCTGCCTGCAACTGGGGGAATGCAGCTGTAGACATGGGACAGGAAATTGTTAACAAATGGGGGAAATGTGGATAGTTTCCAACTGAAAATTGCATCATCACAGGGTCTTGTAAAAAATCTATTTTAATTAAGTGACTTGCTAAAATCATTGTTTTTTCCCTTTCTGTGGTATCTTATATACTTTCTTGTATGATGTAATAATTCCTAAGTGTTTAAGTGGATATGAATTTACCTTTGTCTTGGCTTAAAAATGTATGTACTCAATCATAGAATGTCAGTAATACCCAAATAAGATTTCATGTGTAATTGTTCCTTTGATGATCCTAGAAAACTATCCGGTGTTAATTTTTATCTTGTAATTGTGATGTCTAAGTAGAATATAGATGATTCTGTAATTATACATATACCTAAGTATGTGTCATTTTATTATGAAAGAATAATGTAACAATTTTATATGGCTTGGGTTTTGTAGCTTTACTATTTGTTTAGAGTTACAAAGTGTAAGTTACAGTATTTAATGCATAATTTTCCTCATACTACTTAAGTCCCTCTTATTATTGACCACACACACACACACACAAAAACTCATTTTCTTTTTTTAAATTTTGAAAAGAACATGGGTGTAAGGGTGAATTGCAGAGGATAGAAATTCTGCCCTGTGATTAACAGCATGTGTCATGTGAATGCTGATGATTGACTTGCGAGCTGCTTGGACCCTTCTTGGTCAGTTCAGGATTCTAAGTCCATTTCAGTCTTATCAGCTGATTTAAGAAAATTGATTTTTTCAGGAGCTTTTTTCTTTCTTCCAAATTTGGAATCAAAAAGTAGAAATATTTTCTGTAGTTTCTTCAGGTGTAGCAAGTGGAATATTGATTCTGTTGAAGTAGTTCAGAGCTCTGGAGTGAGGTGCAGCTCTCTGCGCGCTCACGGCAAGTTTTGGTTTGTTGCACTTTGCTGCCCATTTCATTTCCTGCTGTGCACTCAGCTTCTTACCTTGTTTTTGTGTAGGGCGCTGGCCAGGATAAACTGGGCATCTATGTCAAGTCCGTCGTGAAAGGAGGCGCTGCAGATGTGGTCAGTATCACTGCTAAGGAGGCAGGCTTTTGATGTCCTGTGCTTGATGGACGGGATGGGTACTATGTGCTGGTGCCCCTGGCTGAGCGGGACTGGGCAGGACTAGGGGGACAGCCAGTCTGCTCACACTGCTTCTCTTCTCCCGTAATGTGTCTGCACACTGCATGGTGAGCCAGGATGGACGACTAGCAGCAGGAGACCAGCTCCTCAGTGTGGATGGACGCAGTCTGGTGGGGCTCTCTCAGGAAAGGTATGACCCATGGATTATTTGAAAGCTTAGTGTTTTTATGTGATTTTCACATACAGTTTTGAAATTGGGAGATGAAAGCTAAAAAGCTCTGTGCCCTTATTATTCTACAGTATTTTAAGTGTAAACTCCTAGTGTATTTGACGTTTCCTTTGCTATCAAATTATAACTATATATTTTAGTCTAGAATACTTTCTTGTAAACTAGAGATACACACACACACACACACTCAGTACTTTCTGAAATTTGTAATTTTTGAATATCATCTTTTTTTTTTTTTTCTAACAGGAATGAACCCAGGGGTGCTCTGCTATTGAGCTATATCCATAGCTCCATTTATTTTATTTTATTTATTTTTTTGGCAGGGGGTGAGGGAATGGAGACAGAGTATCACTAAATACCCAGGTTGACATCAAACTTGGGGATCCCCTGCCTCAATCTCCTAAGTAGCTACGATTATAGAGATATGCCACCACACACCCAGCTAATCTTACTATCTTAATATATTAGGGATATGTTAGCATGCATTTATGGTTCATTTTTCAAAGGAAGGAAGTGGCAGAAGGTAATTTGTCTGAAAGTCAGAATTGTCCAAAATGGCATATGAGGCTGGGTGACATGATTGATGGCTGTGTTTGCCATGGCTGACAAAGTGACAGTGAATATGGTTTCATTTTTCTTACACTGGTGACATTCTCTTCCCAGGGCAGCAGAACTCATGACAAGAACAAGTTCCGTGGTTACACTCGAGGTAGCAAAGCAAGGTGCCATCTATCACGGCCTGGCCACCCTCCTCAACCAGCCATCCCCCATGATGCAGAGAAGTAAGGACCATAAAGTGCTCGCTGACCAGGGGCAGCTGGCTTCTGCTGACCGTATGCTGTGTGCTAGATGTATCAGACATGACTTGTTAGTAGTTTACAGCAGAACCAGTGCTGGTATTATCACTGTCTCAGTTTTGAAAATAAGGATGTCAAGGCTGAAAGCATAATAGCAAGACTCAGATGGTGCCACCTGCCCTGGGAGTCCATTCTGATCCTCCAGTTCCTTTCTGCTCCCATGGAGCTGATCCCATGCTGCTGATAAGCTTCTGTAGGCCAGGAGCAAATAGGTGCCTAGCCAGTCGTGAGTGAGTAAAGATTCAGTTTTGATAGGCAAGCCTAGGGTGGGAGGTCCTTAAAGGACATGGCGCATTCTTTACTGAAGGAATGTTCACACATGTGCTGAAGTAAGCTATGTATCTTAGTGTATGTAATTCACTTTAAATTAAGAATTCAGTTTTTAAAATAATTTATTTGTGGGAACTGTGTTTGTATAACTACATCAAAAACATCTCATGATAAAATTAATATAAACTCAAGGCTTTTTAAAGAATCCCTTCAGAAACCTCGAGGAGAAAAACATAATGACTCATTCTCTGAAGTCATGCATACCTTCCAGATCTCTGAAATAATACCCTTTTTAATATGTGCATAGCTTGTGAAGTGTGGTCTTCACAGAGCCCTCTTCTCCATAGAACCTGACATCTGTAGCTGGAAGTAGCATGCCAGGTCCTGGCAGTCTGCGCCTTTGCTTACTGAAGCCAGCAGGCGGGGAGGGCACCCCAGCTTACCACACATTCATCATGAGTCTTGCCTCTGTGTGCCTCTTACATTTGACCCCACCCCATACAACAGGACACAAGCAAACTCGACTTTGAGTTAGAAGCCAGAGAGGGAAGCCCCTAAATGCACACAGCATATCAGAGTCGGCAGCAGGTAGAACATGGGACGCATACAGCTGGCACCATAACAATGCTTTGACCCCAGCGATCCAGTGACAAGACCATTTGCAAGTCTTGAGGAACAAGGAGACCACATTTGTCTCCTGGTTTTTAAATGTACTTTAGAAGGGGTTATTTACATGGGTGTCATTTGATGAGAATAGAATTTTAGAAGTATATTTTTTTCTGTAGATACTGGTTAAGTGAGAAGCTTTCTATATTCTCAGGATTTTTATTTGAAAGCTTTTTAACAGTTCTATACAAAGAATCTACCTTTACATAAAAATCACTATTTTCTTGCTGGGAAAAGTTCTTATGAAATTTAAATATTTTTAAAATTTATCTTCCTTTTAAGCTAAACAAGGTATCTAAGATCTTTCAACCAATGAAGAGATATTGAATGTACTTTGATTTCAGTTTCAGATCGACGTGGCTCAGGTAAACCCCGACCAAAGAGTGAAGGTTTTGAGCTCTATAATAATTCAGCTCAAAATGGGTCGCCAGAGAGTCCTCAGCTGCCCTGGGCAGAGTACAGTGAGCCAAAGAAATTGCCAGATGACAGACTGATGAAAAACAGAGCTGACCATCGCTCTAGCCCCAACGTGGCAAGTAAGAGGGGTCACTTCCTTCCTTAGTACCCATGTGGTCACAGCAGTGAGGGGGCACGGTTCTGTGTTAGCTATTCAGGTGTCATCACCTGCGTATTTTGGCTGAGTGAGAGACAAAGGATGTCAGGACTACCATTCTTAACATTCTTTTCTTGTAACAGAAGTAAAAGCCCAGTTGATGCTCTGGGCAAAATGTCTTGGTAATGTCTTTGACCAAGATTGGCAAATTACCAACTGAAGCCAAGATGGTTTTGACATTTTTCAGGGAGAGAAGTCATAGTAGGAAACACAGTGAGGCACAAGATTCTCAAAGCCTGGCGTGCTCACTATTTACCCTATCCCTAGTCTTGGAAAAAGCTCTGGTCTGGGTCCACCCATCTGCAAGCTGGGTGGACCCAGCTTCTCCCCCACCTCATGTGTTTGTCTGATCTGTGGTGTGAGCAGTGTGGTGGTATATGAGACACCATTGCTTCCTTTAAGGACACTCTCACCTGCCTCAGGTGGTTGGTTTACTATGAAACCTTTCCCTGTTTCCAACAGATCAGCCGCCGAGTCCTGGAGGGAAGAGCCCATATTCCTCTGGAACCACAGCCAAGATAACGTCTGTCTCCACGGGGAACCTCTGCGCTGAGGTCTGATTGATGTTCTGTGGCTCTCACCTCTCTTAGGTCCTTAGGTCCCCTGGGACCATCCCAGTTACCTAAAGCAGCTCTTACTCAGCAAAGTGGCCTTGGTTCTGACTCTCAGATTTATAGCATTTAATTTTTGGATTTTTTAGTAACTAGTCAGGTAAATTCATGTTGAGTTAAATCTAGAGAAAATGAAATGTGTTTTATTATTCACAATCTGGAGTCAAAACACTTTTAATTTTTAATACAGTATTTAACATATATAGAGTTTTTTATCTTAAAACAGATCACTGGAAACGGAATTAATCTGTTTAAAGTTGCAGATGACTCACTCTTCCTTGTTCTTCACAATTTGCAGGAGCAGAGCCCTCCACCCAGACCTGAAGCCTACCCCATCCCGACTCAGACATATACCAGAGAATATTTCACGTTCCCAGCCTCCAAATCCCAGGATCGCATGGTTCCTCCTCAGAACCAGTGGCCAGACTATGAGGAGAAGCCCCACATGCACACAGATAGCAGTCATGCCAGTGTTGCCATTCAGGTTAGAAGCAAGTGGTTCCACAAACCTCTGCACCTGCGAGGGAACAAAAGGGACTAGTGAGACAGGATGATGAGCGATTTCTGAGGCACAATTGGAATTTTCTCTTTCTTCTTTTATGGTTTTATGGTCTGAGGAAAAAAGACATAGTACAGGATATAGGATAAGTGAGAGAATGTGTGCTCTTGTGTCTGTGCAAGGAAGCCTTAGTGGTAGAAGGCCTTGCACTTCTGGGCCAGGGCTCCCTGAAGCAGGACAGAGCAGTGAGAACCAGGGATGTCATTTGCACTTTGTTTCTGTCTCCATCCCTGGAGCTTGTCATGCACCTGGGAAGTGGGGCTGGTAGACACAGGGTAGTCTGTGCTACTGTGGTGGAGGGTTCCACTGAGGGCCAGCAAAGCGAGGGCTTGGTGTGAGTGGAACCAAATAAGAAGTACCTGCTTGAGAGCCAATCTTCCATTCAGGTGTCAGAGAAGACCTGAGCCTCAAGGTGGGGTTTGAGCTGAACCTTGAAGGGTGAGAGAAGCAGGCAGGCAGAGAGGAGAGCATCCCACTCACAGGGGGCAGTGCACGAGGAGAGCCATAGCCCATTTTCTGAGGGCAGAAGTGGTCCTCTGGTCTGATCCACTGGCCCCTCCTGCCTTTTCCTGATGGCCCACGGCAGCCTGGTCCTGTGAGTGTTGGATGCCCTTCCTCGCCCCTGCCTGGATGTCTTGCCAGACCACAGGTGCAGAGTTGCAGACCCTGCAGCAGTTCCACAGATTCCATGTAATTCAATACTTCGTGTAGTATGTAGATTATGTGTCCTGGTAATGAAGAAGCTCTTTCTGTTTGAAAAGTAAAGCTGTAGCTAAGTGTTGGAAGTAAATGACCCATTTTTCCATTATGCTGTTGTATTTTAAAGGGATACTTTCTCTTTTTTGTTTATGGAAAGTGTGTTCATTTCTCTTTTCTTTCATGTGCACATAAAACCTCATGGCCATCGGGATTATAGCACTGCCTTTTTTACATTTCCAGGATAGGAATGGATTCTTCTCAGATGCATGGGCCTTGTCCATGGACACATCTCTGTTAAAGAGCTTATAAAGCTAGTCCTAAGCTTCAGGACTCATTCAGAAATGGTCCAAGGGTGGATTAAATGGCTTAAATATAATAATTCCTCTTTGTGAGGATTAGAATTCTTGTTAAAGAGGACTCACTGCTCTGCCCTTTGTAAAGACTTCACTCACTTTTTCTCAGAAGCCAGCTGCGAGGCTGGTAGCCCTTGTGCACTGTCCTTGGAGCACAAGGAAGGCACCAGCAGCCATGGGACTGACTGTTCCTGTGATGCAGAGGGGACGGCTCATCCTTTCTTGGTCAGATCAGTTCACTGCAGCCCTCTTGGCTAGTGAGCCACAGGGTGGCCCCAGCCTCCAGTCCAGACCCTCGTTATCAGTTTCTGTAGTCTGTCTTCTCCACAAATGTGAAATGTCTGTGAATTGGGGGTGATTTCTTCTGGTGAATAACTGAAGTATAATATTTCTCCTTTTTCTTTTCCCAGCGTGTTGCCCGTTCCCAAGAAGAGCTTCGGGAAGAGAAAGCTTACCAGCTTGAGCGACAGCAAGTAGAGGCAGTTATGGATCGGAAATCTGACAGTGACCTGTGGATAAATCAGAGCTCCTCAGTGGAATCCAGCACCTCCAGCCAAGAGCACCTGAACCATTCCTCCAAGTCTGCCACCCCTGCTTCCACACTGACCAAAAGTGGCCCTGGCCGATGGAAAACACCAGCAGCAGTGCTGCCCACCCCAGTGGCCATCTCCCAGCCCATCAGAACAGAGCTGCCTCCGCCTCCACCTCCACCTCCTGTCCACTACGCTGGAGACTTTGATGGGATGCCAATGGATTTGCCTCTCCCACCTCCTCCCGCCAACCAGGTGGTTCCACAGTCAGCTCAGGCAGCTGCAGAACGGAAGAAGAGGGAGGAGCACCAGAGGTGGTATGAGAAGGAGAAGGCCCGCCTGGAAGAGGAGCGTGAGAGGAAGCGCAGGGAGCAGGAGAGGAAGCTGGGCCAGATGCGCACACCACCTCTGCATCCTGCCTCCTTCCCTCCCCTGGCCACCCCTCAGGCAAAGCCTGAGAAGCCATCCACACTCCAGAGGCCCCAGGAGACAGTTATTCGAGAGCTGCAGCCCCAGCAGCAGCCCCGTACCATCGAGCGCAGAGACTTGCAGTATATCACCATCAGCAAAGAGGAGCTTTCCTCTGGAGACAGCCTGTCTCCAGACCCCTGGAAGCGGGACGCCAGGGAGAAGCTGGAGAAGCAGCAACAACTGCACATCGTGGACATGCTGAGCAAGGAGATCCACGAGCTACAGAGCAGGGCAGAGCGCACTGCAGAGGAGAGTGATCGTCTGCGCAAGCTCATGCTGGAGTGGCAGTTCCAGAAGAGACTGCAGGAGTCCAAGCAGAAGGACGAGGACGACGAGGAGGAGGAGGATGATGACGTGGACACCATGCTGATCATGCAGCGCCTGGAGGCCGAGCGGAGAGCCAGGGTAAAGGGCAAAGCTCCTGGGTCGTGGTATCTGTGCTCCCTGCTTGAGCTGCCGCATATGTGTCCCGGAGGCAGCCAGGCCCGTGGACAGGAAGGAGTAGGGTGGGCTTTGGTTCAGCATGCTCGCTGTAGGAAGGGTGTCTGCCCCTGACCCACAGAAGTGAGCTGGGACAGGACGTGGTGCTGGAAGTTCTGGTACTTGTGCTTTGACAAGAATTAAATCCACTATTGTCTTATTTAGCAGCCTCATAATTAAGGGAGATAATAGGTATTTGCTAATGACCACTAATAATCTTGATCAGGGGTCTGCAAAGCTTTCCTTAAAGGGCCAGACAATAAATACTTGGCTTGGCCTCATGGACTCTGCTGTGGGCACAGTGGGTGTGCCTGTGCTGACAAAGCACATACAAACGTGTCAGATCACTCTCCTGATCCTGACTGGGAGCAAAGAATGTGAAAGTGTTAAATCATTGCCAGGCACGGTCTTTGTAGTAATTATACCATTGATGAAGCAGGTATTTATCAGATTAATAGTTTCACTATTATAGTATAAAGATATTGAGAACTTTTGATCGTACCTTATTTCTCTATATTTTGGAAATTACTTTTGTTTCAAATAAAAATTTAAAACCAATATTTACTTTAACTCAATTACTTATTAAATGCCAAATTTTAGATGAAAGATTCTTTGTTGCCTCATCCAGAGAGGCACTTTACTAATTTGGCATTGAACATGAACTTGTGGAGAGAGCTGTTGTCGAGGTCATGTTGGTGATCTCAGTGTTCCTTTTTAATCTGCACAGTGCAGTGTTGGCAGGAGACAGCCACGAGCATGTTCTCTTGGTCTTGGATTTAGTTTCTAATTTCAGCTCTAATTTAATGCAGTGAATTGAAGGGCTGAAACAGTACTGATTGTAGGTCAGCCCTCTTATCTTCCCACCCTATGATGAAATTCAACTTTAGAGAATACCTGTGAGCACACAAGAGCCAATAGTGGGGTCCTTTTCAGTTTGCTCACACACGTGCTTCTTAGTCATACACACACACACACACACACACACACACACGTACATACACATGTGTATATGTGTGTGTATATATATATGTTTTATATATATAAAATCAATATCAGCCAAATGTGTTTGTAACTTTTGCCCCATAACTTTATCCTGAGTCCCTTTTAGACTCATAAGTTTCTTAAATGAGACCAAAATGTGATTTTAATGACAATATTGTTTTATTTAGTAAGTCATCAGTAATAAACTCCCTTAAGAATGATGGTATTTCAATTAGAAGTGCTTTCTTTGAAAGAGCTACTGTTTGGTAAGAGCCAGGAACTTTTGCAATTGGTCCTTTGAGTAGTTTCCCCCAGCACACGCAGAGCTGAAGCTCTCGGGAACACTCACTGTTCTGGCCAGCTCTGGTGCACCTGCTGCACACTGGCCAGGGGCCCTGCTGTGTGCCAGGAGACAGGTCATTGCTCAGGGAGGTACAGCTCAGCTCTGACTGCCCAGCAGTCACAGGTGCAGGGAAAGCACAGCCTGTGGTGTAGACCATGCTCCCCGAGCAGGCAATGTGAGCACTCGACTACTAAAGCCCTGCTCCAGCAGCCAGTGAGAGTGGGCAGCTGCAGCATAACATTTCTGTAGGATTCTTCTGTGTGAAGATGAAATTTTTATTGAAGGTCTGTCAGAGTTTTTCCAAATGGTTAAAACCCTGAATATTTCAAAGCCTTTTAGTCTGGATTATATTTGGGAAAGCTTTTTTTTATAAGAATTTAATAAAAAGTAATAATTTTTTTCTCCATTAATTACATTAAGGTTAATATCGTAGTGTCCGAATAAGAGACCAAAGAAAATTTGGCTTTTTTGGTTTCTATGTATCTTAATGCTGAAGCCCAAGTATTTAATACCATGTGGACACTTTCCTACTTCTCATATGAGAAGATAGCTTTCAGTTCTTCAGTTTTCTCCTCAGGTTGTCCAAAAACATGAAGCATGATAGCAACAAAGTATGCCGATGGCAGAATTCAGGTCTGAGTCTAACTTTTTTTTTCACGCTTCATCTTTCTTTTTTTTTCCTTCTCTGTTGCCTGCAGCAGACTGCTGTGCCAGCAATCTCTGTTCTAGATTTGGTATGTTCTTGTTTCTTTCCTTTGGTGCTTCTCCTGTCTCGATTTTCCTTCCTCCTCTGGTGGTGGCTGTTTTATGTTCTCAGTAGATCAGCTCTGCCCAGGGTCTCCTAGACCAGGGGACTGGCCCTGTGACTCTCTAGAAGCATGCTTTTGAATGTTACTAGATTTAGTTACTTTTTACTTTTCTCTGTTAACTTTAAGTGTTACTGTTTGTTTATGGTTTTGATCTTTTCTCAGTTTTAGTTATAATTTGCTTCTGTGTATTCTTATGTAGTCATTAGTATGTGAGCTAAACAACTAAAGTTTGCAATGAGTAATCTATTTCATTCTTGTTATATTAATAGATTTTACATGTTCAGTTGTTATAAGCTCAGTTGAAATGATATTCAGTTGCCACTTTCTTTACTAATCCAACATGGAATCTTAGCTTATCAGCCATACCAGATGGTCAGGTCGTGCTCTGTTGTGAGTCCAACATGTTTGTCAGTTTGGGGAAGTTTTGGTTGAAGAGTTACTGCTCTTCACGATTAAGAAGCAGATGTGTAACCTGCTAGACCGTCACATTCTGACTGATCTGTATTTACTGACTTGAAGCCATTTTGTTCTGGATCAACTACGGGGTGAAATGGTGGCAGCCCCAGGCAGCACTGCAAATATTTCTTAATCTGGGTTTGTCTTGATGCTGTTTCACCAGTCCCCTCTTCAGCACAGGGACAGTGTCACCCACAGAAAAGCTTTCTTAAGATGTGTTACTTCCCTGGTAATCAGAAAGCATATTTTATGAGCTCTGTATCTTTTCCTTTTGTTTTATGTAAAGAAAAAGTGAAAAAAATATATAATCCCCCTACTTTGTATGTGAGGTGTCCATAGATGTAAATGGAAAATATCAATCAGGTGGTAGAGCATTTCACATTTGTCAGTGTCCACCATGTGGCAGGCACAGGCCTGAGACTCTGACAGGCTGACTATGCTCTACAAGAGTCTGAATGCCATGAGACATTGATGGATGAGTGGCAATGATTAAGAATAATGGGCACACTTAGATTTTTTAAATATATATTTATTTTTTTAGTGTAGTTGGACACAAAGCATTTTATTTATTTATTTTTATGTGGTGCTGAGGATCGAACCCAGGGCCTCGAACGTGCTAGGTGAGCGCTCTACCTATGAGCTACAACCCCAGCCCACACTTAGATTTTTATTTCAAAGAAACAGTTCTGAGCATCTAAAAAGACAAGTATTTTGAGTATTAATAGTCACGTAACCCACGTGTTTCTGAGCATCTCTCAGCTCAGCCCTGGTGAGTATCCGTGTTACTGATAATGTGCCATTGTCTGTAGCATGCCCATGCTGTCAGATCTCGCAGGTTGCCCGGGAGCCTCCTGAAGGGTTAGTGGGCAGCGACAAGCATGTGGTCTTCAGGGAGCAGCTTGGAGACGTGTCCTAGCGCATCTGCGAAGAGTGAGACAGGTCCACTCCTGGCGGGAGCAGCGGCATTCCCACAGTGGGAGGCTGCCTAGGCTGGCTCCTGCCCTTCTACCCCTTCAGTGGCCCCTGCCACCTCAGGGCTGCACGATGCCAGTGCCACACCCCCTTACCCTTGAGACCTGGAGACCTCCTGCCTGTCTCCTGGAGCAGTCAGTGTTCAGGACTGAAGCCCTTCTGCCCGCAGCCTCCCAGCAGCCCCTGCCTCCACCCTCTTCGTTCCAGTGAAGGCTCAGCTGCTCACCTGGGGACTTTTGCCGTCTCCATAACCCCTCTCTCTGTTCAAGAACCGTTGGCCTCTCTGCCTTAGCACTTGACCACCTTGGTCCCTTAGCCTGAGCTGCTGTCCCTTCCTGTCTAGTCATGGGGAGAGTGTGGCGGCACTCTCTGTTCTGCCCCTGACCCTTCACAGGGTCTCTAGACAGAGCAGCTGTAGCAGCCTCAGAGACCCCCAGCCCTCCTGAGTGAGTCTCTGCCCCCCAATAACACGTTCTGGTCCTCCCTGAAGTCTGTCTGGCTCCATGTCCTCCTTAGTGCCCACGCAGCTGCCTGCCCACTCCCATGTGATGACTCTCAGTGTGCCTGCCAGCTCGTACCTGAGTGCCATGTCATCTCTCTGGGGTTGCCCTGGCTGGTTGCCTCCTGCCATGACATCTTGTGGGCTTGCTGCCCAGCGCTGTGGCCTGTGCCCTCCTCCACAGCTCTTGATCACCCTTTCCCCCTCACTGCTTGTGTGCTGAGCACTGTGCCCTCCATCCCTAAACATGGCTCATCACATGTGCATTCACCTCTGTGGGCAGCAGTGATATCTGTCCACTTCTGGAGGTGTTCTAGCATGTGGTTGATGGTCAGTAATGGCCAGGCAAGTGGCTCTGGGGCCAGATCCCCGAACTCCAAGGGCATGTGGAGAGGGAGAGGCTGAGAGGCCCTCCAAGTCTTGATTACTGAGTGATGTACCGTCCTGTTCAACCCACAGTGTCTAGCTAGAGGAGCCCCACAGGCCAGCTTGCAGCAGAGCTTTGCCTGCAGGGTCTTTCCCTTAGCTCCAACAGGCAGATTTGGCTCCAGGAGACCTGGGCGTGTCTGAACCTGTCCTGCCTATGGAGCCCATCCAAATAGGGTACAGGGCAGGTGGTCCCTGGGCTTTTGAAAGCTTCACAGGCAGAGGTTCACAGGGCAGGTTGCTAATCCTCCTGCCCAGTGGCAGTGTGCATAACCCCTGCCATTTTTGCTCTAGGTTGCCAAATAATCGCTTCTGTTTCTCCTTTCCTCATAACAAACCTGCCAAGTGGATGAGTGAAAGAGCCAAGCCTGGTGTGAGTCTGGCCTGCCGTCACAGGCCCGGCCACAGCAACATTGCCTGTCCCCCAGTCCCGAGTACTCCTGGTGCTACACAAAACACCTCCTTGTCATAGAACAGTGCTGCTGGCCACTCACTCCACCAGACAGTCCCAGGGCCTGGCCAGCGCCAGTGGTTGTCTCAGCTTTGCCTTTTACCACACTTCAGTGGTCATCTGCTGACCAGAATAATGTGAGACCCTACAGCAGTGCTCCTCCTCTTTGGCCAGAATGTTTTTTGGTTTTAGAAGCTCTTCTGGATGCCTTGTGTGAAAACCCCATCTGGCCCTCCCATCCCATGCCACTCGCTAGCCTGGCTTTGGTGTGTGCAGTAGGCATTAGACACAGAGAGTGGAGGGGATGAAATCAAAAGCCTATCTAGGGAAGTGACCTTCAGGAGGAGGTAATGCCTGTGTACTGTTTACACCGGAGCACCCTGGACAGAGACAGGCCCTGCCCAGTATGGACAGTGACTCCCCAAGGAGGGCAGAGTTACTGAAGGAATCAGGAAGAGAAACGTGTTCATCTCACTGCCAGTGAGTGTGTGTTATGGAGAAAACAGAACTCACCTGTGGGTGCAAGACCAGAGCTGGCCTAAAGGAGCACCAGGTGCATGTCTTACTGCCTGCTTGGGGTCACTCTGCTTTGTCTCTGTCACTGAGACAGTGCAGCAGCTGAGCTCTGGGTCTTACAATTTTAATCAGTTTCCTTGGATTAGGAAAAGGCAGCAATAGCGAGTAGGCTGGGCTGAGGCAGGGACACATGGTGCTGTCGTGGGAAGGGCTGTTCTTAAGAAGAGCTTTGACTATAGCATGGGGGAGCTTTCTCTTGGATAAGCAGCTGCATGGCAGAGCTGGGCTCAGGGAACCAATGCCTGTTGTAATGAGTTGTCTAATTGTGGATGTTCTTTATCTTTTGGCCTTAATGTTTTTTTTTTGTTTTGTTTTTTTTTTGGTGGTGGTGGTGGGGGTCACTTCCAGTAGGAGTGAGCAGGAAAGGTGTATAGAGGAAGGAAGATTCTTAAGGACTTTAACAAGAGTTCAAATTGTCTGTTTGGTGAAAATGTCAAAAAAGCCAAGGTATCATGGCCCACTTCCTGTTCAGATATTAACCTCTACTGTCTGCCTTGGGGATCCAGTAGTAAATGGAGAGAGAAGGTGGTGTTTGTGGCCTGAAACTGTGCTCATTTAGATCTCAGCCTGCACTTTTTAAAACAGAAGTAGTCATGGATGTGCGGACTGCCAGTCAGCAGGGCCATAGCCCACCCATGCATGCTGGGTCCTGGTCCAGAGCGTCTGTTCCCCAGGCGTTTCGTCCTCTCCATGTGTAGCAAAGAGCTGACCTGACTGAAGTCCAGTGTCCTATCAGGCAGGTGTCGCTAGGTTGCAGAGTGGTCAGATTTGTAATTGATGTTCCAATGCCTTTTACTCTCAATGAACATAAACCACACAGTTCAATGTACTTTAGGAACTGTTATTTTGAGTAAATCAATAGATTCTTTTTTTCTCATTAATGCTTTGGAGGGGGCAGGAGGGGAAATAAATGAACATATTTTTGGAGAATAAAATAATTTCTTTTGGAAATGAAAATACATGAATTAGTCTAAGAGTGGAAAGAAATTTCTTAATTATACTAGCACCAATTAATATTTCTTACTTTAAAATTAGTAACTAATGAGCTGATCATAAGGAAAAGGCCTCTTACTTGCTGTCCACCATCCTGATTTAAAGGCATAGAGCTTTTCTGTAGAGGATGTCTGTTCATAGATTTATTTGTAAGATAGACAGGTGCTTTTGGAAATCCTGCCATTCTTGCCTCCTATGGTGACGCTCCTGCTGGGCTGGAAGAGATAACAGCTTGCCAACAGCTTGCCTCGGGTACCAGGCACTAGGCTTTGCTGCACCAGCCTTATTTAGCGTGGCTCTGGGAAGTGCAGCATGAGGAGCGCCTTGCTTGGAAGGGAAATGCCTGCTGCGGGGCATAGCCCGACTCCGAGCTGCTTTTCTCAGAACTTGTGAGCTCTGTGCTCTGCTGCTGCTGTGTGGGTGCTATTTCTCATGATGGGTGCCGAGGGCTGAAGTTCTCACAGGCCTCTCCCTTGCCTAGCTTGCAGGCCACTTGGGCCTGCTCTGCTCCTGCTGCAAACCCACCCTGCAGCTGAGCATGCTGACCTTCTCTGCACTGATGGCTAGGTCATGCTAAAAGAAAAGTTCATCTGTCCCCTACAAGGCCACTTCCGTTGTTCTGAGTTGTTTTAGCATTGTTAACTGATATGAAGAAACTAATAACACAGGTTAATTTATTCTTTCCAATCAGATATGGTGTTTTGTTCCACAGGAATCAAGGAATAGAGAAGTTGCTAATGTTTCTTTGCTTCCCCCAAAAATTATATTCATAAGTTAACATTTTAAATTTTGTTGGGATCAATTTATAGAAAAATTGGTAATTTTCTAGATATTGAAATACATCATAGCAATTTTATGTAAGGCAGTTTTGCAGTGGTTAAAGATTGAACTCGATGGCTTTGAGTTCATTGTAATCTTAGAGATTTTAAATTGTTCTTTTGATGGTGTGTCATGGTGTGGCTATGGGTGTCCTGTAGCCCAGCTCCATGCCAGATGAGAAGAAATGTGCAGGGGTTTCAAAGTTACACTGTCTCAGGCTGTCAATGTAAAAAATAGCCACATATCCCAATAAAAAAGGAGAGTCTTAGTGTTGTTCTGGCCAATAATCCGGAGTTTCTGTCTAAAAAAGGGATTTTAACCTGTGATATACAGAGAAATGTGACCAGGAGGATAAGGAGCTAAAAACACAAATAGAAGGAGTAATGGGAAGATGTCCTCACATGTTTGAATGTCATGAAGTAAAGACATTACATTTTTGTGTTATTTCAAAAAGGCAGAACCTAGTGACCAAAAAAAGAAAAACTAAGATGATGGATTCGGGACCAACATAAGAACTTCTGACTAGTCGTTACCTAAGTGTACCATGTGAGGGGTTGGCAGTGGTCCCCGGGCATTTTGCAGGTGCAGACAAAAGTGAATCAGAATGAGTTCCTTTCAAACCTCAGGTCCAGGATGGGTCCAGGATGGGTCCAGGATGGGATCTGGAGGGAGTCAGTGGCCAAGGGCTAGAGGAGCAAGAGCGCTAGGCCTCTCGTTTCCCCAGGGAAGTGGGCACTGGCAACAGCTGTCAGCAGAAACTGGGTCCAGAGTGGGCAACTCGGTACTCCCCCCACCACAGGCACAGAGAGGATGTTCTTCTTGGTGTTTGGGGTGGCGGAGGCATTCCATAGTTCATAAAGTGGGGCTCGGCCACGCAGGTCTGTCAGTCTACAGGAGCTGGCTGACAGACCCATTCTGATGGAAGAGTGGTGGTTTCGTGCATGGCTGTGTGACAGCTTGCTTCCGTGAGCCTTGATGAGTGGGAGGATGACCCTGGGACTGTGGAGACGAGGTTTTTAGGGCACTCACTTTGAAAGTAGCAAGTAAAGCTGTGAGTCTTGTCGTCTCCTGAGTAGAAACTCGGCCTTCTGTGTGTGTCCTGTCTCCTTGTCCTGCTTGTCTGGTCTGCCCTTGGTGTCTTGGCTGGGGAGGCTGGGGTGAGAGTTAAAAGTGGTTCACTGTCAGTTGCAGGACGAGGAGCGCAGACGCCAGCAGCAGTTGGAGGATATGCGCAGGCGGGAAGCAGAAGACCGTGTGAGACAGGAGGAGGAGCGGCGTCTGGAGGAGGAGCGAGCCAAGCGGGACGCCGAAGAAAAGGTCCTGGTCCTCTGAGGGCAGCTAGCGTTGCCAGTTAGCCTGACCTGGTGATTGGCTGGGGCAGAGGGGCTAGCCTCGTGGCTCAGATGCACACGGCAGAACAGGGCCGGACCCCCAGCTTTGGTTACGGACCAAAAACTCTCTCCCGTCTGGCCTGCTACCTCTCTTCTGGACTGCCTCCAGACCCCTTGCCTTCTGAGCTGGTCCCTCAGACTCCCGGACTCCTAGGTCCGCATGGCGCTGGGCCTCTGGGCGCAGGCCCCCTCGCAGGGTGTGGACCCCACTGGACAGGGTCCAGCTCGTTTTTTGTGAAGATACCACTTGTTCAGTTATTGACTTGAGTCGGCCCCATGGGAGGCAGTAGGAACAAACAGTAAGACAGTCTGGTAACTGACCATCTCGGATAGGGTTTTCACTAAAATCACTCCATTTTTGTAGTGGTTAAGAGAACAGATGGCTATTTAAAAAAAAAAATCATTCAAGGAAAATTTAGTCTACAACCTGATTTATATTCTGAGTTATTTATTTCTCTGTGTGTGTATTAATTCAAGTGATTCTTCAGTTAAATTGTAAAATGACATCTGATTTTGAGAAATGGGCACCTTGTGAGGCAGTTCCCAGATCCGCGTCTATGTGCATAGCTGCAGCCCTCCCCATGGGCAAGAAGACCCCAACTCGTCCAGGGACTACAGGGAGCTGTGCAGCTGCAGAGGGGCCGTGCTCCCCAGTCACCTCCCTTCTGTGAAGGTCGAAGCCTTGAGCGTCACAACTTGTGACAGGGAAAGCTTAGTTTTATTAGCAGTTGTTTCCTTGATAGTGCAGTGAGGTGTGTCAGTAGGACCCCCACCCCCAGCCATTGTTTTTAGGAAGCTTTTGGTGGTATGGTGATGGATTAGGCTACAGGACAATCTAACCACAAGCAGGACTGATATCATGCTGTGGCTCAGTTAGACTTAGGGAATAGGTGGCCCCTAGAGTAGAGCGTGTGTAGGCAAGCAGTGGATGCTGGGAGGCCTGGGCCTCTGTGAAGGGCATCCTCCAGCACTGCTGTGGCCCAGCAGCTCCCGAGGACTGGGGGAGCTGGGTTTTCCCACAAGTCTTTTCACTTGTGTAACAGAGGCAAAGCAGGGGTTTCCAGAATCTGGTCCTCTGGTTTCTAAGCCTGTGGCGTTGTTGGTGGTGGTTTGCTGTTCTGAGAAAGCCCCCTGCCTGTTAGGAGGGTGCCTTTCCCAGGTCAGTGCCTGCCAGCTGTGCCAGTGCTGCCGGTGCCCATGCCTGTGGTCAGGCCCCGTCTTGGCCTCACTGGAGCCATGGTGAGGCAGCCTTGCCATCACCTCAGGGCTGTGTCTACAGAGGGCCAGGCTGCGTTTTGTTGTTGAGGAACTCTTGGTTCATTTTTCCAACGTGCATTCTGAACTCACTATTATGCTGAACGCACTTGTGTTTTAGTAACTGCTTCTATAATTGAGTGGTCACCGTAAAAAAGCTGAAAACCCTATTTTTAATACAGAATGTTCAGAATTGACAGGTTTGTGTTGTCATAGAAAAATGTGTGGTCCTTTTCTGGGTAGAGTCACGTCCCCTTGGTCATGTGACTGTATCTGCTCTTTTGGTGTATCTGCTCTTGGTGTAACTGCAAGGGGTTTGGCTTCCGCCCTGTGTTATCAGGCAGCTTGCTCCTCCTGTAACTCCAAGGCTCTTGGTAGAGCTTTTCCAAAGTCACAGAAGTCATTCTGATTTGCCCTGCCCAAGGGATTGCTGACTTTGTACAGATAGGAGAATAAGAATTCTTCTCCTTCAAGGGTCTCCCAGCAGAGAGCAGAAGGTGAAGCTCGAAGTTGGTGTACGGAGTGCAGAGGGCTGGCAGTTCCTTAGTTTCCTCCTTAGTTTCTGCAGTTGGAGCAGGGGCTTTGGTGTGTATGTGCATGAGCTTTGGCTCTAGAGGGAGCAGGAGAGGATACAGCCCAGAGGTACAAGAATGAACAATTATCTTGGTGCCAGCAGGGCCCAGCAATTCTTTTTTGTTGAATGAATTGAAACTTCACTGTATTCCAACACTAGACATTCACTGGGGTTAAGCAGGTGATCTGTTGGATCTTTCACTCCCTTTCATACTTACTTTTTCCCTCTGTGCTCTAAAACTCATGTCAATCTTTAACAAAACTGTGCTGTTACCTTTTTTTAATGTCAAAACAATTTTAACACTGTCAACTGTAGTTTGTGCAGATGTATGTCAGAAAAAATGTTCAGTATGTGTCAAAATATATTTGAATTCAGTATCTTGTTGCTGTTGCTATTCATGCTTGGCTCTCTAATTTTCTGTCCACCAGGGAGTTTATTAAGATTTGAAATGTAAGTTAAGAACTGGAAAGCATTATTTGTTAGTTTATTGCTTTGGGAAAATAAGTGATATTCCTTACAGTTTATGGTTTCCTAGTAAAACAGCATTAACAGGTAAGTTAATGTCCTACCAAAACAGAAGGGGAGAGGAGGAGGAGGAGGAGGAGAAGCAGAAGCAGGAGGAAAGAAAGGAGTGTAAGACTTCATCTTGTTTCGTGACTGGAAGGGCCTGATAGTGATCTAAACTATTGCTGAGCAGTTTTATGTCACATAACCCAGATTAGTCCAACTGTGACCTATGTACCCTTCCCAGGAAAGAAAGATTCTCCCCAAGGAGACTATTTCTGGGTTGACCCACCTCTTCTGTTGCAGTAGTTGTGACAGTTAAATGTGACGTCCTGTGGACATGTGGTCGGTGTGAAGATGGGGCCTGGTGGTCAGTGCACCTGTCATATTCCGTGAAGGCCCAGAGGGTCCGCCCGTCCCCTCCTGATCTCTGACCTTGTACTCTTGTCTATTCCCGCCTGCAGAGGCGACAGGAAGAAGGGTATTACAGCCGCCTGGAGGCCGAGAGGCGCAGACAGCACGAGGAGGCGGCGCGCAGGTTGCTGGAGCCCGAGGAGCCCGGGCTGTGCCGACCTCCGCTTCCACGGGACTACGAGCCCCCATCCCCGTCCCCTGTGCCCAGCGCCCCTCCTCCCCCACCTCAGCGAAACGCCTCCTACCTCAAAACACAGGTCCTCTCCCCAGACTCGCTGTTCACTGCCAAGTTTGTTTCGTACAATGAGGAGGAGGAGGAGGAGGAGGACTGCAGCCTAGCAGGTCAGGATAAGTACTCCAGCGTGAGGAAGTCTTATGGGCATCTTCCTCCTGCCGCCCTTAAGCCACAGCAGCCCCCCTGCAAGCCACGCCCGGCCTCCGATGGCATCTTTCTCTCCAACTCATTCCAGCCACCCTCGGCCAAAGCCAACAGTACTGCCCACAAAACAGGCCAGCCCCCACCCCCTCCAAACAAACCAAGCTTCTGCCATCCTGGCCACTGTAAAGGTAGAGGTAAAAGAGAGAGTGCAAGCCCCACCCTCTGGTCTTGATGATTGGGACCTGGTCTCTGCACAGCTGCACCTGGGATGGCCCGAGATCGCCTGCTGTGGAGTCTGGGTTCCATTTGGTGACACTCAGCAGGGTGATCTCCCTCCACCCCCAGCTGCACTGTCCTGCTAATTGCTCTGCTGATGAATGTCTCTGGTTTCTCTCACTCTGAGAAGCTCCATCCCGTTGATCAGCTGACAATCAGTCCTCCCCCTTTACTCCAGACCATGAGTACTGTTGGTCTTGGCTTTCATTCTCTCCCTCTTCCAACAATTTTCACCTGTGGTTGAGCAAGTGCCTTTTTTGCACATTGAACTGACTCTAAAGGTAGCAATGAAGGTGCATTTTTAGTTTCCACGTCAGGTATCCCATACTTGGTGGTGGCTTGTCTCGGGGGTGGAACATCTGCTGAGCTGGTCTGCAGCACGGCCACTACCCAGCATCTAGTGCCCCAGTTGTCCTCCGGTTCCTCTCCTCGCCCTGGCCTTCCTTCCCTGGCCTTTCACTCAGAAAGAAGCCAGGCAGCGGCAGACCTAGTTGTGGTTAGTTAGGGAAAAGCCTCTGGCTGCCTGCATGCAGAGGCTGCTCCCTGCAGAGGTGCCAGAGCAGCAGGAGTTATGCTTAAGGTACACTGAACTCCACCCAGGTGACAATACTGGGATTCAGCTTTGAGCCCACTCAGATACAGTCGATTGGTCAGTTGTGTAGCTTTAGCAAGTCATGCACCTTCCGAATTCTGTGGAGCTCCACGTCACCAACAAGTGGAGGTCAGCAGCTCAGAGCTCAGTGCAACCTGACAGAGGAATTTTTCCCCAAATTCTGCCTTTTCTCTACCTGAATCAGCTTTAATCCACATTGAAGGCTTGGTGTTTCATAATACCTAGGTTGAGAAATTCTGAAAGCCAACTTGAATCTTTTTTGTAGAATTTCACCATAAGTATTTAGAACTTGGTATCTCTTAGAGACACTCATGGAGTAACAAATTTTGAAGGAAGGTGCTATCAATGTTGTATTAAATTTTATAAGCTGAGCTGTACAAATTTGTAAGTGTTGTGACAATTGTGAGGTTTGGTGGCGGAACGCTGCAGGTCGGAGTCATTTCTAACCATCTTGGCTCTCAGTCCTATCACTAACCCTTACTTTATTTCACAACGAAGTGGCACTTCGGAGCAGGTTACAGCCTGCGTCTGATTGCTCAGCCTCTTTGAAGATCCTTCGTAAAGTTGCGCGGCCTCTGCAGCTCATGCAGAGCCCACCTGGCCCTGTCTTTGTCCACTCCCTCGCATGCCTGTGTCCAGCCTTCTGTTGTGAGCTCTCTGGCAAGCATGCTTCTGCACGTGGGACTTGGCCTCTTCCACTGGGCAGTGTGAGGAACAGAATTTGGATACAAATCAGAGTGAATAATGCTGATTTCAGCATAGCAACATATTGAAAAAGAAGCATTACTAAAGCTCTGGAGAAACTTTATAATTGGTAGTATTCATATATATATATTGCTGGAGGTTTTTGATATTCTAGGAACAAAGTTTAAAAGTTTTGAAAAATTGATTTTTTTTTTACCAGTGAAAGAAGCCAGTAACATTTCCAACAAAGCTCAAAAGATGCCACAGTATTTTTTAAAGACGGATGAAATGAAGGATGTGTTTGGAATTCTCTCCAGAAAGACCCTTTCTCATAGTTTCCAGGAGGCCACTGTGGGTGACCGTGAGATAGAGACATGCTTTGCTGTGTCTTTTGAGCCTTGTTAGGGGGGCCCTGGGGCAGCCATAGGGTAAAGCACCCCATGGCCCCCCTCTCGTCTGTGTGTCTGGGGGGCTCTGCACCATGGAATCTTCATATGGAAGAAAACTCATCTTAAAAATTCATTTTGTGCACCTTGTTTGGGGGGAAAGAGGCTTTAATATAAAAGTACAGCAATAGCTTTGTGGCCTGTTTAATTCAATATTTGATACTGTCAGTGTGGGGTATTTTGAGCATTCAGTACTCCAGCCTATATTTTTATAAGCAGGTTTTTCAGGTGTGGATTTTTTTTTATATTTTATTGTCACAATTAATAGGTACACATTAATAATGATTTAGTACACTGTGCTTTTTATATTATCAGTGGTAGTATTACCACATGCTTGGATACACCTGGAACTCTCCATTTACATCATCTCTGGATCTCCAGCAACTCACCAAGGGTACTGGGGGGCTGCCTGACTGGTTGATGCCATGAGCAGCCATGGCAGTCCAGCCGGCTTAAAAAACTTTACTTTGTTTTTAATAATTACAACCATTTGTCTTAAAAAATAATTCAGTAGCTTTCCAGAGAAGAACTTAATCATGTGCTTACCTGCTTAATCTCTGGCACTGCATTTGCTTCAGAAATCTTGTAAAAAAAATCTTGGTTTCAGCAGCATGTTGGAACACTTTGCTAACCTCCCATTTAAGTGAAATTTCTGTGGCTTTGTCTTCTGAACTTGTGCTCACCGTGCACTCCATCAGATTTGAGTTGGTTATCACACATCCACCGCAGTGTTCCACTCAAATGATGAAGGGAGGTGAGCTGTTGAGCACCAGCTGAGTAGTGATTGGGTTACTCAGGCCACCAAGAGATGCAGGCTTCCTGAGGTGCGTCTTTCATCTGATATGAAGAGCCTTGGCTTTCTTGTTTGCTCAATGATTAAAGGTGTCTTATTTTGTGGGGGGTCACTGTATCTTTATTGTCATGAAGGTTTACAGATAATCAGGTACTTTAACTTGGACTTTTTCTTTTTTGGAAAAGGACCGAACCCTTACCCAGCATCTGCTGGGGCAGTCAGCGGTGCCCATGATGTTCCTCGGGATGCAAGAGAGAAGCACACCAGAAGGTACCCCGAGTCACGCTGGTAGTGTCTGTGACAAAGGTGTTGCTAACTTGTGTGAAACTGGGTTGAAGTTTCAAAGGCTTCATGAGCTCAGTGTCTCCATTGTATAAGATCACAGGAGCACATGGAAGCTTTTTAACGTTGGTTTTCTCATGTAGCTCTGTTTCAGACAGTGATATAGGTGCTGGGCTTACCGGCTGGGCACTAGAAGCAGTTAGCTGTGTTGCCATTTGCTTCTACCAGAGAAAGTTGAAAATCTGAGGAGAGTAGCCAGGGATATTGCTCAGCCATGTGGAGTCAACCCTAAGATTGCCCAGAGTATAAACCAGCTGTACATTATCATAGACTGTCCTCACCTGGATCTTAGTTCTCAATGCCAGCTATTTTGAAAACAGCCATTCTGGTTCCTAGTATTAAATTAGATGCATCTATAGGTATGAGTCATATGCTGTATTTTGAAACTGCACCCTTTGGTTAAATTTGTTTAAGTGGTAAGAAACACCTGCTTGCTGAAATCTGACTCACTAGTGTCTGAATGTTGGATATGACTGGGGAATGTTATAATTTTAACAAGGATAACATTTTGCCTATATTTGTATGTGGGTTTAAACATAGCCCCAGTAAGTTTACTTGTAAGAAGCGTTATAACAACATTCAGCAAAGAATGTGTCTCCTCTCTGAGAGTTTCAACTGATTGCTCATTATGCAGACTTAGCTAGCTATGGGCAGGCATGTCTGCATTGAAGGGTAATCTTTCATTTGTCTCTTGTCCAGCCAAGATGCAGATTTACCTGGAAGTTCCGGAGCCCCTGAAAACCTGACATTCAGAGAGCGTCAGCGCCTTTTTTCACAAGGTCAAGATGTGTCCAATAAAGTGAAAGCTTCCCGTAAATTAACAGAACTGGAGAATGAACTAAACACAAAGTGAGGAGAGGCACAGGGCAACTATGTGCACACAGATCTGCTCAGGGGTCACAGGTGGGAACCTGAAGAGGAGGGGGAAGGCTGTGTTTCTAAGTGATTTCTAATTTCAGATTCTAAAGTGGTTGTAATTTAGAGATGTTCAAATTCCAAGAAATTTTATTTTGCTTCAGCAAGAAATTGTTGTTTGTACAGTTTGAACCCTGTCTGATTCTGAGTGATCTCACGTGAGGGTATCTTTTTGTTGGTTTATTTTTGGAGTCCTGACCTCATGGGGCAAAAAGGGGAACAGTCAAAGTACTGTCTCCCTGTCCTGGTGCCACACACTGTAGACCAAGAAGTCTCTTCCTGGACTTTCTTGGAAACTTCATTTTGCCCATGACCCTCAGATTGGCTGCCCCGCCCTGTCTGCTGTGTGCGCTCCATTGCCTCAGCCTTTTAGGAGCGAGGGCGGACGTGTGGATTGCTCCTCTGGCCCCCTCGGGGTGTGCTTCCAGTTGCCTTCTTGTCTGGGCCACACAGTAGCCTGGACAGCAAGGTCCTGTGAGCAGAATGGCGCACGGCCCATCTCACCCCACAAACAAGAGCCCCCAATCAGTTCTGAATATTGGATTAAATTAAATTTTTGATTAATATTTGATTTCTAAAATTCTCAAAGAAGAAAATTTTGAGGATTTAATCTTAGGAGATTTTATTTTTATAAATACAGGTTGTTGTTAGCCTAATAAAAATCATTGATGAAATTGAAGATGACAGTTATTCTAGAAAGTTAACTAATATTTCATATATTCTAAGGAGTCTATCAAAGATCTCTGTAGCTGAACAGTGTTGATGTAACTAGGATCAAAAATGCCTGAGAGAATGAGGATATTGGTAGGTGATCCCCAAGCACAGATGTCACTAGAAAATTTAAATTTTGAAAACAAATTTACATTGATATTCTGTGGGAAAGAAAGGAATTCCTTGACTATGCCATCTGTAACTGGAGTATTGCAAGAATAATTCATGGCAGTTTGAGCTTTGTTTTTATAGTATAATAGAGTTATTTAATTTTAATTTGTGAGTTCCGAGTTATCACTGTCATTTTTTCAGCTGTGGGTATATGGCTGATGTTGGGGAGACGGACCTCAGTTTGTTTATGTTGTGTGATGTTAAAATGGTAAATTTTTTTGTGATTTTAAGCACATTTCCTATTTGACAAAGCCCTAATGGGGTCCAGATGATCTTTCTGTACCATATTGTTCTCTTACGAAGATGTATGTTGGGAAAATATGCACACTTTCAAGTAGAACAGAGGCATTTGCTGCCCTAGAAACCACTTTAATATGAGTTGTATGATAAAATGTCCAAAGTACAAGTGTAAATATTTTTTTGTCTATCAGGGTTCTTATTTGAAAGTGTGCTTTCTCCATTCCCCCTGTAAGTAAGAGTCAAATGGTCCCGAGAGCTGATGAAGGATTTGCACACTTGCCCCCGAAAAAGCAAGCTCCTCCTGGTGTCTCAGGGGCACTGGCGCCTCCAGGTGGCAAATCCACACCTTGCCTAGAGAAACACGGGTGCTGATAACTGCCCGTTACACGTGGGAGACAGACACACACAGCATGAGTGCAAACAGGGATATTTGTGTGTTTGTCAAACCCAGACAAAGGTGGATTTGGCCATCCCTGGATGATGAGGTCAAATGTGAATATGTCTAAAAGTGCTTTTCATGATGTGCATTGCTATGGGAAAAATCCAAACTGCTGTAGTTTTCCATTTCTACTGTATTTCGGTTGCAACCTATTTTTAATAAACTTTGTATGTATTTAAGTGTATTCACTGTTGTTTTAAAAATGCTGACAGAGTTTATATTTCTAACAACAGCCCTCTCTCCCTTGCCTCCATCTGTCACTCATGTTAAACAATGCAAAACGCTGCTCCCCTGTATTTTCCACCTGTGGGGACATGTTCTTTGCAGGATGAACAAGTCCACTGAGGCTCAGGTGAGTTTCATAGCGTCCATGACCAGAGTGCTCCTTTCCCACCTTGTCACTTGTTTTGCACCTGAGCAATCCCAGGTGGCCCCTGGGACCATTTCTAAACGCATCCAGTAACGAGCATTGTGTGAATGTTCCTGAGCTGTGTTTAAATGCAAGCACCCAGTTGAGGCAGCTGGTGAAAAGGGGTGTGCGGGACTAAAAGTGTTAAGTCCGTGTTGAGGAACTCCCACTGGCCAGGAGTGAGAGCAAGCCCCGCAGGCAGATCAGGTTTGTGCAAACTGTGCCCGCAGGGCCAGCCCTGCCCTTGCCCCCGTATGCCTGGGTGTGCGTCCCCCACCTGCCTGTCCCCAGGGTATCTCTTCTTCACTCACAGTTTCCTTTATGCTTCATAGCCTGTGAGCAGGCGGTGCGGAGGGTACAAAGGGCTTCTAGAAGAGTGCGAGGGAGGAAATAGAGGGCCAGAGGACACAGCTGCAGACAGGCAGGAGTGACTGCTGTTCTGCTGCACAGTGAAGCGATTGTGATCAGTACTGTGTTTTGAGACAGGCTCCCATGAGGGAAGCAGCGTGTCAGGGCTGGGAGAACTTGTGGGAGGCCTTTGATGGCAGAACTGGATATTTACATTTCTGAATCGTACTCTTCACTCTTACTGTATGCTAATGCCTAAAAAGACACTTGAAAGTTTGGAGAAAGCAAGTCTTGGAGACTGAGGATTAGTACTGATTCCACTCCATCTCACAGCCATAGTTCTCTGGAAATAATGACTTTGACCTACAGTGTTCCTTCAGGTCTGAACCACATGAAGTAGCAGCAGGGTCCTTGATAATTTCCTACTGTGTTCCATTGGACAAAAATTTCCTCCGAGTTTTACTGGACAGAAAACTAATCCAAAGGCTCAGCCATATATTTAGGGTAACAGTAAACAAAATCTAAGTCAAGTTACTTGCAGAGAGAAAATGTGCCCCCAAATGGTCAACACTTTTGTATGCTGGCATTTCATCTTGTGGATTCACAAAGTCAGTAACCAGAAGAGTGCGCGTTTGCTTGTTAGACTTCAGACTGGGATGTGGAAGTCATTTCTGTGTGATGTTCAATGAAGCTTACGGGTGCCAACTGGTCAGAGGTTACCCCACTTCCCAAACTGCCCTGGAATGTGTTCTGGCATGGCTTCGTTAATATAAACACGCATTTAGTAACCGAACTTTCAGGTGGTGGACTCCCAGAGAAAACAACCTGCTTTTTTTGAGAGGAGGGCACATTTTCAGGTAGGAGGTGGCACAGCGGACCAGGTGTCCGCACAGCCAGTAACACTCCGCAGAGGGGCCAGTGCCCGGTGGGAGAGGCGGGCCTTGCAGGCCATAGTGAGAAGTTCGTGCAGCGGGCAACCCCAGCCAGGCAGAAAAGGTGTGAGGGTCGCCCACAGTATCCAGAGAGCCCTTGGAGAAAGGAGTGGGAGTGGGCAGGCGGCTCCTGCAGCCAGGGTTCCTGGGCGCCCCGTGGGCCTGCTTACCCCGCCCCCAGGACCTTCCTGGCCTGCTTTCTCCACCCCTCCCATCGCCCCGCCCTGTGCGCTTGCTGTGCCCCGCCCCCACCCCTGGTGGATCCGCCCCTGGCCCCTGGCTGGTCGGCCCCTGGCCCCTGCTTGCCCCCCTCCACCTGTAGGCCTGGATCCCTGTGATGAGGCCCGCAAGTGCAGGTGACACCGGTGAGTGCTGTGCCCTATGGGGCCTCGCCGAGCGACGAGCGCAGCAGCTGCAGCGTCAAGTGCGGGTGAGTCCCTGAGGGGCCTAGCGGCCGGAGCCAACCCCTCACCTGGGCGTTGGGGGCCAAGGGAGAATTTGTGGGGTTCATGGGTTTCATGGATCCGTGAAATTGAAGATGGGCCAAACACACACACATCCAACCTGGCTTGCAGGACAGAAGGGGTCGCTGGCCTGTCTGCCCCCCCCCCCCAACGGCTCCTCAGCTCCAACTCAAACCTGGGCCCCTCTGCCTACCTACCCATCTGTCCACCACTCCCCCTCTGTCCTCCTACCCTGGCACCACTGTCCTTCACATAGCCTCTTCCTCTTCCTGGAATGCCTGCTGCATGCTGTGCAGCTAGCTGCTGGGCATGCCTGATTAGGAAGAAACAGGCATCGCTCCTGTCATTATCCCCATGGAGTCTGCAGTGCAAAGGAAGCAGACTGATGAAGCAGTTTAGAGAAATATAATACTGTGTGGCAAAGGCCTCAAAGACCACCCCCTGCCCCCCGGAGGTAACAAAATGAGGCAATGAGACGCCAGGAAGGTCCCCTGTGTCCTGATGGCTGAACCATGTTCTGATGGAGGCTGAGAGTATAGAAAAGGCTTCCTGTGGGGATAGATATATGGTGGCCCTGGGCTGGATGCCACCCAAAGCAGTGGGTTGCCCAAGGACCTTTATCTCAATGCCAAGGATATGCTATCAGGAAGATTTTAAGAGGGAAGCAAGACATGATCAGATCTGTCACTTTGTGCAGTCATGGTTCAAAGGTATGAAGGATCATGGAGGTCACTTGAGAAGGCCATTGCAGGCAAGGACTTCTAGGGTGAGGGTGAGGAGCTCTGTGGACCTGCTGTAAGCAAAAGTGGTGGAAACCGTAGGCAATAAGTGTTTAAGGCCTCTGGAATCATCCTCGGTAGAGGCATCAAACAAGAAAGCATTCAGTAAAGACAGCGTGCTAAAATTTCCCCAAATCATCGAGGTCTCTGTGTTCTGCCTCCCCCTGGCTCAGCTTCACCAGCTCCTATGTCTGGGATGACCAAGAGGATGGGATCCCTCTCCCTCAGCTACCTCAGGTCAGTCACATTCTGAGGGCCAGGGAATTGGGACTTCAACATGTGCCTTGGAGGGAGGGCAAAGCCAGTCCCTAAGGAGCCACAAGTTAAACTATAGGCCAACTCCGGTACTAGAGAGAGGTAGGGAGATGGCTGAGGAGAGCCTTTCTGGGTTTAAGATAAACCTCAAAGACTGGATTTAAAAATTATCACTGCCCCCAGGTCATTGTCAACATCAGTAGAGCAATCAGTCAGTAATTAAGGGAGTTTAGTAAGTAGGTGTTGTAAGCAAAACAACCAACACTATTCTGCACCATTACGAAAACACAAATAACTGGAGGGAAGCACACCTCAAGTGGGTCAGCAAGCTCTCCTTTATTCTGCAGCAAGCAGTCAGCCAGGCACTGGTGGGCTCATTCTGGGTAGGAAAATGGCCACTGGTTATGGAAGAGTCTTGGGTTTTTACAGTGAGGGTGGTTTAATTACTGGAGACTGAAGCAGCACATGTTGGTTTGGACAGTCAGGAAAGAAGCTGTAAAAAGAAGTTGAAAAAGCCACTTATCGTCATTGGGAAAAGCTCAGACTCCGTGTTCACTGCTGATCTTCTTTCTCCAGGATTCATCGTCTCCCAGAGCTTCACCATTGGTTTTTCTCTTGCAGAACTCATGGGCAATGGGAAAGGGGAAAAGCCCAGGATGAGTGTTTTAGTATCTGCCTCCTCCCTTCAGGACTCCCTGTGGTTGGGAAGGGATGACTGGGGATGAAACCGGGAAGGGATGAGAGTTTGCTTTCATCGTTACTGAGAAAGGCTTCACTGGGAGAGATGAATGATCTTCTCCCTCTTCCTCTGGGCCAGACAGTTTTAGGGGTTGTCATTTTCCATATCTTTCAGATGTGAGGCCAAGAAGGTCCCCTGTGTCCTGATGGCTGCTTAACAGAGGGACCAGAAAATGAGAGGGGCAACAAGCCCCACTCAGACCACCACTAACCCAGTGTGGCCTGGTGGGAGGTTATCAGGAGCCTGGTAGAAATTACACAATCTTAAAAACAGAGATGGAAATAAGTTGAAGAAAAATGAAGAGAACATCAGGAATAGATGCGAAGCCTTTAAACACATCAACCTATGTATCATGGAGGAACAAGATGGAGAGAAGAAACAGGAACAGAAAACCCCAAGTGTGCTGAAAAACGGGAACCTGCAACGCCAGAGAAGCTTAGAGGACTCCAGTAGTGAGGTAGATACTGAGATACCCACCCCCATGTCACAGTAAACACTGATGTGATAGCAGGAAGAGAGAAACCAGTGGTCAGAGATTCCAAGAGGACTTGATGCTGACTCCAAAAACAGTGGAGGCCAGGGCAGGAGGGCATGTCCACAGTAAGGCAAGAAAAACTTCTCAACAAAAAAAAAACTTGACCCAACAAAAATGTCATTCAAAATGGAGGCAAAAGCAAGCAAGTGTGATGGTATACTCCTATAACCCCAGGGACCCGGGAGGCTGAGACAGGAAGATCGCAGGTTCAAGGATGGCCGGGGCAACTTAGTGAGACCCTGCTCTCTAAAATGAAAATGAATCTGGTTCCCTCCAGGGACAGGGACATTCGTCAGGATGAGCGGGTCAGTCTGTAGGAAGACATAAAGCTGTGAATGTGATGGACCTTACCACAGGGCCCTAAAATAAGTGGAACAAGAACTCGGCAGTCAAACCAAGAAACAGGCACTTCAAAAATCAAGGTTGTGAACGTTGGTGCTCCACTTTCCACAGGGACAGTGACAGCACAGGGTCCAGCGAGACCCGAGAGACATCCCTGCAACACCCACAGCTGAATGTATCTGCCGAGCCAGTGCCAAGTGCATGCCGAGCGCCGGCCCAGTGCTGGCCGAGAGGGGCCGAGTGCGGACCGAGCGCCAGCCGAGTGCTGGCCGAGAGGGACCAAGCGCCGGCCGAGTGCTGGCCAGTGCTTGCCGAGTGGGGCCGAGTTGTGGCCGAGAGGGGCCGAGTGCGGGCCGAGTGGGGCCGAGCGCCGGCCGAGTGCTGGCCAGTGCTTGCCGAGTGAGGGCCGGCATAGGCAGCACACAAGGCCTGGTGCCAAGCCCAGGCAAGTTTGAAAGAATAATTGCACGAAATCCGTTTTGATCACACTAGAGTAAAATTAGAAATTAATAACAAAAAGAAATTTGAGAAACACAAATATGTGGAAATTGAATAAGACACCCCTAAATAACCAGTGGATCAATGAAGAAATCACAAATGAAATGATTTGAGACAGGACACATGTATAAAACTTTGTATTGTGCAGCTAAAGCAGTGCCTGGGGGAATTATAGCTGTAAAAACATTAAAAATAAGGTAGGCCTCACCAGGCACAGTGGCACATGCCTGCAATCCCTGCGGCTCAGGAGGCTGAGGCAGGAGGATGGAAAGTTCAAAGCCAGCCTCTGCAAAAGCAAGGCGCTAAGCAACTCAGCAAGACCCTTTCTCTAAATAAAATACAAAATAGGGCTGGGGATGTGGCTCAGTGGTCAAGTGGCCCTGATCAATCTCGGTACCCACCCCCACCAAAATAAATAAATAAGAGTTCTTATAGCAGCAGTCTAACCTTCCACCTTAGGACACTGGATAAAGCAGAACACATCAGACCCTAAGTGGGGAGAAGGAAGTAAACAGGAAATGCATGAAGCAGAGACCAGCAAAACCACAGAGGGAAATTAGTGGCAAATGATTACAATCAGCTTGGCTGGCTAAAAAGAGAGAAGACTCAGATTACTAAAATCAAAAGGTCTCACTACTACCAAAGTGATGGGGAAAAAGGATTGTAAGAAAATACTGTGAAAGTTGCCAAGAAATTAGACAACTTAGGTGAAATGGTCAAATTTCTAGAGATACACACTACCAAAACTGACTCAAGAAGAAATAGAAAAGCTGAGCAGAACCACTGTTATAGTTAAAGCTTTGTCCCAGGGTTTCATAGACTGACTTCCAGACCACTCACGTATAATCCAATCAAGCCTTTATTGAAGCACAGGGGTGGCGGCTGACCAGAACATAAAGCTGTTCCCCTGATCAGCCCCGAACAATTGCAAGGGCACTCCTTATAAGCCTGAAAACCACAAAAGGGATGTTCGGGGGGGTCTAGCCAATGCAAGCCAGCCAGGTTACAGAAACCGGACAGTGCAGTCAAGCAGAGGGAAGCCTAACCAATCACAGCCCAGTCATCCCAGTTACAGAAACAGAGCCCCGTGACCCTAATTACAGAAATAATACCCCATCAGGTAGTTCCGTGTTCTTAAAGGTTTCTATAGCAAAAGGAAAAGAACATCTTGCTCCAGTCATGACTCTTCTACTTGGCATGGTTGTTTTACAGGATGAAGTCATAAAACAAAATGGAGTCACATTTGCTCCTACTATCACACCACAATGAGTAAAGAGGTTAAATTAGTTACTAAAAAACTCTCAAGGAGGACCCCAGGCCCAGGTGCTCTCACTAGTTCACCAGTCCCTTATAGGATTCACAGCTGTCCGTCAGCCCCTTCAAATAGGAGAGTGTTGCACTCCATGAAGCCAGCATTGATTGAGGTCAAAGCCACACAGACAATCTGGGGAGAAAACCACAGAGCAGTATCTCTTATGAACATAGATGCAAAAACCTTCAACAAAATACTAGTAAAATGTTCCAACAATGTATAAAAAGGATTATATCCTACAACCAAAAATCAGTTAATACAGCAGATCATGTCAATAGGATAAAGGACAAAATTCTTCACCATATCTCAAAGTGTTTGACAAAATTCAACACCCTTCATAATGAAAACACCCAACCACAGGGCACAGTGGTATTGGAGTGGCCAGCACCCCAACAGAACAGGTTTCTACCAAAAGGCGTGAGCTGCCTGGGAAAATTAAAAAGTCTGAAATAATCAGTAAGAAATAAGACAAATCCAGAGATTAAATTTTAAAAAGTGGAACGCCTGAGGAGTCTTCCAATCCTGATGGGAACTGGAGCTAAATAACTTTTGAAAAAGGCTGGATTATTTAAGGGGGAGTACATCAAAGGCAAGTATAAGGTTTCAGTGGGAGGAGTTTTGTTTTAGTGCTTGCTTCTCGGTATGGGGTCTTGCAGTAAATAGGTTGATTGGCATTTGACAAGCTCTACCCATCTCCTGGGAGGCTGTGCTATACCAGTGGATTCCGACTGGGACTTCCTAAAACCAGCCTTCCCTGCCTAACGGCTCTGTTCACACAGGGCTCATGGATGGCTTCCCACGCAGTGGCAACCCAGAGACTGCGGAGGCTGAGGCAGAAGGATCCCAAGTTCAAGCCAACCTCAGCAATTCAGTCATGCTCTGTCTCACCGCTGGGGCGGTGGCGGCAGGGGAAGAGGGGTATACCTCAGTAGTTAAGTGTCCCTGGATTTAATCTCCAGTACAAAAGAAAAAACCAAAAACCACCAACTAGGAATAATAGGGACATAGTTGACCTGGGGGGGGGGTGGCATTTGGAACTCAGAGCCACATCACACTGTGTGGCAGAAGATCTGCAGCAAGGTCAGCACATCCCTCCTGAGCCCCGCTGTTCAACACTGCTCTATGTGGACATGCTACTCAGGGTGGGGGCCAAAGAAGGCAAAGTCACCTACCTCAGAGAAGGAGTAAGGACATCTGTATTTACAGATGGCGTCGATAGAAAATCCCAATGAATCCACTCTAAGTCTGCACTAAAAAGTGAGTTCTGAAAGATTGAGGATAACAAGATCCACTTAAAAATTGTATTTCTATGCTATAGTAATGAAAAAATTAAAAATTCAAAAAACAGTTTATGTACAGTACCATGAAAGTATCTATGTGGGAAACATTTAAGCAAAGTGTATCAGGTTCATAACTTTAGTTTATATTGCAATGGAACATGTAGATATGGTGGGATCTTGGAATGAACTGTGGAAATATTCTGAGGATTTTTATAAGAGGTAAAAAATAAATGGACATAACAATAATACTATAGATAATTCTCAGGTGTCATCAGGTTTGTGTCACCAATCAGAAAGTTTAGAATTACAAGCAAGATAGTCCTAAAATAATCGCAGGTTCTTTTCGACCTGCTTATCAGCAGGCTTGGAGGTGGAGGAATTCCCAGCAGGAGGGACTGAGTCCCCCCAGGAGGTTCCACCTGCCAGCAGGACTTCACCAGCTCACTCCTATCCACTCTTCTCCAGTTTCCTGATCTTGCAGTACTTAGTCTAAGTACCTAGCAAACTCTGCTGCAGTACCTCCAGGGCTCTTCTCTCCGTGTGATTAAATGCCCATTTCTAGCTCCTCTGGCTGCAGACCCCACCCAGCCAAGTGCTGGCTGCCTTTCTGCAGTCACCTCTTCCCCCATGGGTCCCCACATCACAGAAGGCTCTTTCTCCTTGAGGTGCCAAACTCCTCAGCCCTGTGACTGGGTACTGCCTTTCCTTCGGCCACTCTGCCCACTCCCATCCCTGCCAGCCCATCTTCCTGAGCACCCTTTCTGACCAGAGGGAGGGAGGGTCCTGGTCCTGCGCTTGGAGCCCACCATCAAGTGTTGCTGCGGCAGTCTGGGGCTGCCCTTGGGCAGGGAGGGGTCATAGGTACCTGGGTGGTGGGTTGTGGGGAGGGAGGCCAGGCCTGCTGGCAGAGGAGCCTGCAGTGGGTTCTTCCCGACCCCCTGCTGGTGACTCCTGCACTCCTCTAAGGCACCCCTCTCTGTTCCTGTGTGTGCACTTACTTCCTGTGACTTCAGTTCACCCAGGAGTGCTCTGGTGAGTTTCCCTTTCTGGATCCTTGTTGATAGGTCAAAGAAGAAAGCATAGTTGAGCTGGAAACAGAAAATGCTATTCTTCATCTGAAATTGGCAGAGGTAATATATTTAAATATCTTGAATTGCATCCAGTGATTTAGTGTTAAAGTCTGTTTTCAGCCTTCATCGAAGAAATAAATTGAAAGTGACACTCTCTCCTTAGATCTTTTCTGTTCTCTGTCTGGTGAGGAGAAAGGAACTCTTCAGCTGACATTTTAAAGTATCTTCTTACAGTGGAACAGGTTATGTTCCGAATTCCTATTTGTCTCTGCATTTACAAGTATATAATAAAGTAAGGATGCAGCTGAAGGCTGTTTTTCTTTAAACAGCTTTAATTAGATTTGATATATGTACCATAAATTCATCCACTGTGAGTTGTCCAATCTGTGTTGAGTAAATTTAGAGTCACTCAACTGCCCTTGTCTTTTTGTGTCACTATAACAAAATACCTGAGACTAGGTGATTTACAAAGAACATTGATTTCCCCCAGTTCTGGAGGCTGGGAGTCCAAGATGGAGGCTGTATGGATTGGGTGTCTGTGAGGGCCGTTCCTCCCGCTGGCCCAGCTAGGTGCCCTCCTACGGTGGGAAAGCAGAAGAGCAGGAAGGGCCTCCGCTGCTCCGTCCAGCTCTGCTTTTGTAGGGAACTGGTCCATTTGTGAGAGTGGAGCTGGGAACTTCATCACCTCCCCTTCCAAATGCCCCCACAGTGGGCTGGCCCCCCAGGAATCTTGGAGGCCACTGAAGCCACAGCAGCCAAGGCCTTCCAGCTGTAGAATCCACCCCCCCTGCGCTCAGGAGCCCGCTCTGCTGAGCATCCTGCTGGGAGCACCTGAGTCTCTGCCGTCTGCTCTCATGGCCTGTCCCGCTTCCTGGCACCTCCAGTTCCTGGTGGTCCTTTTGGTGGCTAGAAAACACAACCTCCTGCCTCCAGTGACTCAGAACGCCACTTGCTCACCCTCAGACTGGTCCGGGGTGCCGCCCCTTGCAGCTGCTCCGGGAAGGGCATCCCCCAGCACGACCTGCTTAAAGTGGGACTGCTCTGCAGAGGAGCCGCTCTCAGGTGGACTAACCAGAGCCAGCGTGGAGGGGGATCCTTCCTCAGCTGAGGGCAGGCAGCTTCTTCCTCTCCCTCTCTTCCTCTCTCTCTGCCTCTTCCCCGCCCTCCTCTGCTCCCTCCCTCCCTCCCTTTCTTTGTGGTACTGGGCATTGAACCCAGGGACACTCTGCCACTGAGCCACATCCCCAGCCCTTTTCATTTTATTTGGAGGTAGGGAGGGTCTCTCTAAATTGTCCAGTTAGCCTCAAACTTGTGATCCTCCTGCCTCAGCCTCCCAAGTCTCTGGAATTAGAGGTGTGTGCCACAGTACCTGGCTCTCCTGCTTTCAGTGTCCCCTCTCCTGAGTCAGGTCCAGCACCCTTGCTCCACCGACAGCCTCTCTCTGCGCTTTCTGGCTTATTCCTCGGCCTCCCTGGCAGGCAGGACAGCCCAGCTCACCTGTCCACTCCCTGCTCCTCCACAGTCTTTCCTTCTTGTTACCTGAAACCAAGTCACCCCGGGCTCTCCTCCAGGCCGCTGTCAGTGCCAGCTACTCTTGTGCTAGGTTCTCTGAATCTCTGTCCCTCGTGTGGTCAGCAGAATGGACCTCTTGATTCCTCTGGATATAGGAGTCAGTCCTGTTAGAGAGTTTGTTTTGCTTTAGTTTCTTCTTCACCCAAACGAAGAGAGGCCATAACCTGCGAATGCTCCTTTACTCCAGTGCCCACCACAGGCTGCCGCACGCGGGGCTGCGCACGCGGGGCAGCCGGTCTCCTGTGGTGCGCTTTGGCCTGCAGGGCAGCCAGGTGCGTCCCCCGGGCTCCCTGCCTGGCCTTCTACTGGACTTCTGTGTGCTTTTGGACAGTTCCACGGAGCAAATGGACTTCCTGTCTCGTCCGCCCCCCAGCAGACACCTCTGGGTGAGGGTCACTTACAAGCAAACTTCTGGAAATCTCCCTGCTGACCCGGCCCTCCCTCTCCCAGGCTTTGTGAGGGAACCTGTCCACTCACTGGGCCCAGTGCACACTGTGCCAGCAACTCAAATTCTGGTTGGCTGGGAGTCCAGGGCTCTGCCTCCCCTAAACGGTGAACTCACACCCTCTGGGTCTCCCAGAGGGCCACCAACAGGCTCCCTTCTCGGCCCCTCTGAAGAATACGCTGGGGGTCCATCGCGCATTCCCACGGCTTTCACGCTCTGCTGGAATGCGTGGTGCCTCCTCCTGTGAGTGCAGGTGGCCGTGTGTTTGGGGCAGTTAGCCACGTGTGGCTCGGATGCACTGCTGGTGAGGGCAGCTCCACAGTGGACGCCACAACTGAGGTGAAACCACCTGGACCTGCCTTGCGCTTGCTGTTGGAGCATCCGTCACGCCGGTCAGTGGTGCAGGCCAGAGCCCAGGACTGGGCTGGCCCCCACCTGCACCCTGGCCCACCCACCAGGCTGTCCCAGTGCTTCTGCTTCCCTCACCCTCCCTGCTTGCTTGGAGGCTTAGATGGCCGCCCAGGGCTGCAAGGGTCCTCTCCTTCACCCCACCCCTCCCCGTGAGGGTCCAGAGTGGTGGATCTTACACCTGTTCTGAGAGCCCTGCTGCTGGGTCCTGAGAGCTCCTCTGCACCTCATCTCTCCCACTCCTGTCCCTTCTGGGATCTGCCTGGTGGCCTCTTCCTTGGATGCTGGCCTCTCCTCTCTACCTGGCCAGTGCCCAAGGGCTCAGCCCTGAACAGCTGGGTCTACCAGCAGCTTCTCCTGACCCTGCCCTGCTGTGGCCAACCCACTGCCGCTGCTCTCGTTGCACACAGTGTGCTGGAACCAGGCCTCCGGGCCACGGCACCCGCTTGGCTCTGAGACTTTCTGCCATCTTTCGTTTCTCCCTGTGCAACAGTACCAAGGAAGGCTCAGAGGGAGCCACTTCCAGGCCATGCAGGTTCACGCTCGGCACGGAGGAGGGCAGGGAGGTGTGCACCCAGCGCTGGCCCAGTCCTGGCACCTGGCTCAGGTAGGCCTCGCCCACCTACACGAGAGAGCAGGTCCAGCATGCAGGGTTCATTCTGGGGGAACGTGCAGCCTGCCTGTGGGAAGTGAGCCCCCCACCCCGGGGACGAGGGGAGCTTGAGCAAGCTCCTGGGGCTGGTGGGGTCCCTGGGGGCCGCGGGCCTCTCCACTCACTGCAGGCACCTCTCCCTCTGGGGCTTCCGCCTCCAACTTCACTGAACAGAAGAAACCTAGAAGCCCACGTTGGGATTCTGACCAAAAGTGGGAGCAGAAAATCTGCGTTGGCCGGGAGTGGGTGGCTGAGGGGGCTGCCGGCGGGTTCAGCGTGGTCAGGTAGGGCTGCTGTCTCACGGCCGCACGGGGAGGCGAGTGCAGTGTGCGGGGTGAGCATGATGGCCGTGGTGTCCATGGCGTCCATGGGGCCTGCCTCCAGCACACTGCTGGAGGTTTCTAGAAAGAAGGAGAACTGCTAGTCCATGAGCATGTTTGGAAGTCCTCCAGGGTGGCTATTTCACTACCTCTGATTAGGAGCATTGTTCTGCCTTTTGTTATAAACAGGGGGACCAGGGCCAAAATCAGGAAGAAACACGTCATCACAACAATGCCACGCCATCTGCAAATGGGATCAGTCTGCGCTCTGTCCTGGTCACATCCAGAAACTTTTAACTTTTTTTTTTTGTACATTCAGAGTGGATTTATATAGAGTTCACTTTTAATTCTCTTCCATTTGAGGAAAATCAATTCATCTCTGAAAAGTAGCTCTATAATTTATCTGTATTCTATATCATGAAATAGTTTAGTTCAGTTTAGCTTTTATATTCTATTGAACTGTTCCCCAAGCACATGAAAGAACTTCTCTCTTTTTATAGAAAAAGAAAGGTGTAGCTGAGAAGCAGAGCACTGCTTGGGCCGGGTGGGCGTCACAGCCTAGGAGAATTTGGTGGTGGCCACTCACCAGTTCCTTTGTCAAACTGAAAATCCTTGAAATAAATCCAGGGGAAAGAGCAGATGGAGCACAGGATACCGCCGTGACGTCCCCCACGCTCCGGGGATGCTTTCCTGCTTACTGTCCGGGGATTCTGTTGGAGCACAGCTCTGAAGAGCCGTCCTCACTGGCAGGAGCCCATGATAATGGGGCTTCCAGAGCTGGTCTGGATTGTCCATCAGGGCTTTGTTCCCCTGGAGGGGACACAGAGATGAGGATGCTGCCAACACTGAAGGGTGGTCAACAAAAGGCCAGGGGGAGTTCCGCCTCCAAACAATGGGCGGCACTGCTGCGGAAATCGGGGACATTTTGTGAGTACATTAAAGACACCAACCACTCAAGTCACAGGAGCTACTTTCCCAACTCTGGTCCAAGCCTGGTGAACCAGGGTGTGGCAGTGAGGGCACCCCAGGTGCTGCTGCAGGCCCCGATGGACTCGGCTGGCGGCTGGCTGGGGCTGGGGCTGGGGCTTGGGGACAGGAGGGGACGATGACTTGCTCTGGGTCATACCACAGGGGGGATGGTTACAAACCGGTTGTGCCCGTGTGTGTGCTCTCCTCCCGTAGAGGCTTAAACAAGATGTGAAGGAGTTCCGCTCTTCTGTCCTGGAGCTTCTGGGCAGCTGTCAGGAGCAGTGCCAGGCCCACCTCTCTGCAGCAGCGGCTGCTGTGCAGAGAGCACAGCTGGACAGTCAGGCTGTGCAAGGTGAGGTGGCCGCGCTGTGCGAGCCGGGCCTGCTGGGAGAGGCCTGCCTGGGCCCAGCCCCCGTCTCTCCTAGCCGCCCACTGATGCCCATTCAGGGCGAGGAGAAATGCTGTCTTATATCCTGGCTGCTGCCCCCTGATCCTGCGGCCACCGCCGTGGGGGTCCCCTCCTCCCCTGTCAGGGGAACAGTGACTCTGGCCCTTGGCGGTCGTGTTGCATGGAGCCTGCGGGCACGTTAGCTTTCAGAGTCAGATTTTCCAGAGATGGGTGGAGTTCCTCCTTCCATGATTCCCCAGCCACTGGACCGCACCTCATCTCATAGGGGCTTGTCTTCAGGGTGGTCAGCTGCGCGGTGTCACCTGAGTGCAGGGTCACGCTATCCACTGCAGCCCACATCCTGCTGGTCAGCCTGAAGACTGGGCAGGGCTGTGGGCGACGACCCCTCCTGTGATTCCCAGAGTGTGAGGGGCTGCAGCCCGCTGCCGTTCTGAGGCAGGGCCGTGCGGCGCTCAGATGGCCAAGGGCCGCGCAGCGCACAGGGTCCGCCACGCCCTAGAGTCGTCAGTGTGTCTGCTGCTATGGGTGTGTGTGTAGTGTGTGTGGTGTGTGTGGTGTGTGCACATATGTGTGGTGTGTTTAGGTGTGTGTGGTGTGTGTGTGGTGTGTGTAGGTGTGTGTATTAGGTGCATGTGGTATGTGTGTCGATGTGTGTAGGCATGTGTCGGTGTGTGTAGCTGTACATAGGTGTGTGTATAGGTGTATGTAGGTGTGTGTAGGTGTGTGCAGAGTGTGCACATGTGTGTGGTGTGTGTAGGTGTGTATGGTGTGTGTGTGGTGTGTGTGTCGGTATGTGTAGGTGTACGCAGGTGTGTGTAGGTGTGTATAGGTGTGTGTAGGTGCTTGTGGTATGTGTGTGGTGTGTGTAGCTGTGTGTATAGGTGCATGTGGCGTGTACTGATGTATGTAGGTGTGTGTGGTGTCTCAGGGAAGGCCGAGCGGGAGCCAGGGCCGTTCCCTAGGGAGGTCCCAGACTGGCCAGGTACCTGCAGCCTATGCACACAGACCCCCAGGAAGGCCTCTCTGGGCTGCTGGCCCACGTCCTGTGCAGGCGGCCAGCTTCCCAGCTCCTTCTCCCCTGCAGCTCAGCGCCCGTCAGAGGTGAAGCTTAGACACCACCTGGTGTCAGGCAGTTCATCCCGCACCTCAGACAGGACGGAGTGGGGAGCAGGCCTGCTGACGGAGTCGGGGTCAGCGTGGAGACCCTTCTGTTCAGGGGGCAGTGCCCCCTTACACCTGTGCTGCCTGGCTGGGCACCGAGAGAACACACTCTGCTCTAGCCTCGTGAGTGGCCACTGCTGATGGGCCTCCTCCCTGGACATTTGCAGCCAGGCCAGGTGTGTCATTGTGGGCACTGGAGCAGGCCTGGCTGCTGCTGACCTCAGGCCATGACAAGACTCTCCATTCCTGTGCTAGACTCCACGTGGGCAGCAGCCATCATGACAATGGCCCTCTGGGCTCCTGGGCATCCTGACTTAGCTGCGACTGTGCTTGGCCCCAGTGTGTAGTGGACAGTCTCCTCTGATCCTCACATCATGGCCCGAGGGTCTCTGACTGGACAGGAAGTGGAGGCCCCAGGTCAGCACGGCAATGGAGGAATTTGAAACCAGACCCCCCTCCCTTGCTGCAGGCTCTTCCCACAGAGAGGGTCCCCGGGAGCCTCAGGACGTCAGGAGCAGGCCTCGGGACTGGGTCGTGGTGCAGGACTCCTGGGCAAGGCCCCTGGCCATGGTCCCAGGGTGTGTCCCATGTGGAGAGCTGCTGGCCTCCGTGAGTGGCTACCTCTCTGCCAGGCCACACAGGTCCCCCTGCAGAATCCCCGTAACCTGGGTCGCACTGTCCTTCCAGCTTGGCGGTCAGAGGCCCTTCGTCTTGAGCAGTCCTTGCAGGACATGGAGGAGCGCTGCCACCGGGAGAAGCAGAGGAGGCGGGCCCTGCACAACAGCCTGCTGGTGAGCACCTGCCACAGCTGCCGCGGCTCCGCCACTGAGGGGCTGCGCGCACTGAGGCCACAGCTGGGCGGGAGGGGACAGGAAGTCAGAACACCGTGGGAATGGGAGGGACAGCCCGGGGAGCGGGCACAGGACGGAGAGGTCAGCCGAGGTCAGTGCTGGGCTCCAGTGTCCTCCCTCACCCAGACACCACCAGCCACTCTGGTGTTCAGTCAAGAGCAGGGGCCACCGAGGCATGGAGAGGTGCTGGTGCCCGGGCCACACAGTAGCCATACTGGGTGTAGGCTGGGACCCGTCAGCCCCTGAGGCCTGCAGGAGTTGAGCTGATGTGAGCTCAGGAAGAAGGGGGGTACTTGAGAGCAGGACACCCCCAATTCTCCCCAGCTGGAGAGCTCAGGGTGAGAGGACCCAGCTGCCCTTCCTCGTGGCCCTTAGCTCTGTCTTCCAGCCCAGTCATGAGGTTCCTCCAGGGCTGCTTCAGAGATGTGGGGTCTGAGACTCCACCATGGTGAGGCGGCCAGGGCCGGGGGTTTGCTCTGGACCTCCTCTGTGAGGTCTGACTGTGCTCGCACCGAGGCTGAAGTCTGAGTTCCAGACACCTCTTGCCCATGAAGCCTGTGCTCCTGAGGGGTGCTCGGCCCTCACAGAGGTGAAAAGCTCCGCTGGGCGTGAGACACAGCTGAGGATGATTCTGGCGTAGGGGCCATCTGTGCCGTCCAGTACTCAGGAGTCGTCTGTCAGTGCTCGGGGGCCAGCACTCCACAGCACTGTGGTCCTTCACCTTACGTAACTGCTGTGCTATCTCTACCTCTCGGGGCTGCTTGGGACAGCATGGGATCCAGTGAGAAGGGCTAAAACGCACTACCTAGGGTGGACACAAGTCCAATACAGAAGAATCGATGGCGCAGGATCCCGAGTCTAGAATCAGGATTGTGATTGGACCTGCTGCACTAGCCCAAGGGGCCCTTCCTTGCCATGGGCACTGTGCAAACAGGACACTGACCTCAGCTTCGGGGAGCTCAAGAGGCTGGAAATCCGTCTACAGTGTCACTTACCTGGTTCTCGAGCAGTAGGAGCAGATGTATGGCAGAGCTGTTGGACTTGCTCATCATAAATCAAAGACAAGGCTTTAGAATGGAGTGATCAAAGGGTGTGAGCACTTAAAGGAAGCAAGGGTCGCTCCCTGAGAGCAGCAAGAGTTTACAGGAATGAAATGTTCAGGTATTAAATCAAGGAAACGTGGCGGGTGTGGAGTGTCTGGTCTCAGCCGGGCGCATGGGGAAGCATTGCATGAAGTATTTATGGACACAGTTTCCAAGCAGGAGCTGCTACCTCTTGTCAGCACGGTCACCCGCTCACCCAGCACCCGGGGAGAGAGGGGAATTCCTGTCCCCAAGAACCCAGCAGGGGCCAGGCTTCTGCCCTGATGCCCAGCGGCGCCCTGTGGCTCTGCCTGGCTCTAAACATTAGACCCTAATGTTCAGGACTCAGGTGGGAGGTAGAAGGCATGGGTGGGATCTAGGAGGAGATGCGGGTTTGGCTGGTCGCAGATACCTCAGCGGGCCAGAGCCACAGGCTGAACCTGACCTGGGTACCGACTCCAGGCACAGTGTGGTAGAAAGACGTGGAAGGACACAGGGACCCCCCATGGCAGCACCCTGCTGAGCCAAGGCCAGATTCCAGTAGACAGACACCTGTTGTCCCTGGTCCCAGAGAAGAGCCAGTGCGGGGCTCTGCCGTGGGCCTGCCTGGTCCCTCGCCCCGCTCCTCTGCCCCGGCCTGCACCAGTGCGAGGGTGGCCAGGCCCTGGACTCTGCAGGTGGAGTGACTTGCTGGTCTCACTGGCTCTCACTGCTCTCTGTCACGGCCCCCCATCAAAGGCTGCCTCTGCCGCTGCTCTGGGGACAGCCCCTTCCCAAGCGCTTCTCCCCACAGGGCCGGGGCTCGGCGCCCTTACAGGCATCTGCACGTGTGCATTTCTAAGGGCTCTGTTGCTTTCCGATTTCCATGATTCCAAGGGGCTGGGAGAAGACGATGCTGCCTTCGAGTCAGGTCCGGAGTTCTTTGGGTACAAGACACTTGCTTACCAACCACTGGTGGCCTGACTGAGAGTCCTCGCTTGCTGTCAGTGCCAGGATCAGAGCTGCCAAGCCAACAGAAAGCATGTGGGTCAGGGTGGTCCTCAGTCCTGCTCTGCCCTGGCAGTGACCCACCACACCTGACCCGTGCCTCTCGTTCTGGACACCTCACCCAGAGAGAGAGGAAACCCAACTGGGTAGACTTTAGCCATTCAGGATGGTGCTGGGACTCAGCCATGAGCAGGGAGGACTGGTGGAGAAGGCGGAGCCTGGCTGACAGGTGTGCAAGGGGCCCACAGCCACAAAGGCAGTGGGGAGAGGCATCAGGCAGAGGGGCAGACAGTCTCCCAGCTCCACCTGCACTCAGCTCTGCTCACTCGCTCCCCATGGGCAGCTGTGGGCTGCCCCTGCCCCTTGCCTGAACTGGGGCCCACATTCCTCGTCCACCCTGACCAACCTCGCCATGACGTTATCCAGGCAAAGCCTCTGGAGGGCCAGGATGATGAGCAGAAGAGCCAAATGTCTCAGTTTCCCCTAAAATGCCCAATGCACTTCACCTGGGATGCACTGAAAGGCCTCTTGTGGGTTCTTCTGCCAAGGGCTGGTGGTCTGCCAAGGGAATGGATGGGTTAGGTTTGAGTCAGAAAAGCCAGGGCCAACCCTGACCACGCGCTGCCCTGCAGGTCTTCTCCAGAAGTCAGGACTAGTGCAGTGACTCCGTGGATCACCTGAGAAATGTCCCCAGTGCATGCCTCGAGGGGGTGGCTCCTGTCCCCCTGTGGCTCACAGCCGGGTCCACAGTGGACATTATTGTTGCAGGAGCTGAAAGGAAGCATCCGAGTTCACTGTCGGATCCGTCCCTTGCTGCCCTTCGATAGTGAGTGGAACAGCTCGGCTTCACATAGCAGGTGACCCTACACTCGGGGCATCGTCTTCGGCTGTGTGGGGCTGTGTGTGGCCGTGTTGGCCACGTGGGGGTGTTGAGTCTCCACAGCCCGGCTCCCCAGCCCTGGCCCCACAGGTGCTGCGGGTGTCCGAGTGGAGGTGTCCCTCAGGGTGGTGCTCCTCGCCAGGCAACTAGACCTGGGGACAGAGCTTCAGAGCGGCTGAGACCCCCGGACCCCCACTCCCCAGCCTCCCCTGCCTCTCCACCTCCTCTGCACTTGTCATCTGCTTCCTGCCCCCTAGTCTGGCTGGTATGGCCTTCCTGGTCTCAGGTCCCCCTCTTCTGTCCACATTGTACTCCCCTCTAAGGACCTGCCTGGTCTCCTGTGTCCACCTTGGATGACTGAGCGCTGGACTTTAGGAAGGCCCCAGGAAGCACAAGTGTACCTGTGGACGGGGAGCATGTGTAGTTTGTCAAAGGACTGAAAACAGGGAAAACAGTGTAGTGGTGACCCTAACAGGTGACAGCTCTTGGACCTGGCTTCCAGATGGTTCTGACCTCAAGGTACCAAATGCAACTTTCTGTTGCTTTGTCATCTGTTCTGGGCGGCCCATCACCAGTCACCGATGAGATTAGCAAATGCAAATTGAAGAGATCAGAAACTGAGTTCCTCGGTCGCCCTTGCTACCCTGAAAGTGTGATGTGGCAGCTCAGATGCAGGGTGTCCCCAGCAGAGCAGGGCCCGTGGTGGCCCCTGTTCTGAATCATGTTGGAACAGAAGAAAAGAAAAGCGAAGAGTATAGGGTAGAAGAAGAGGCCAGAGAGGACAAGAGACGTGTGTGTGGAAAGAGGGACACGTGGACACAGGAGAGGTCAGGGAACACCCGAGAGGAGCAAGAATGAAGCCAGAGTCCAGGGAGTCCGGGGTGGGGAAGAGCCATGGAGAGAGCAGGGGACACTGCGAATTCAGAAAGAAATCATGCTGCATGTGCATTTTAAATGTCGTTTGTCTCTACAGCTCCATCTCGCGAGAAGTGGCCCATGCACTGGATGATGTGAGTAGTCCCCAGTGTGTCCCCACGTCCTCAGGGACTCTGGCCCCCAAGGTGTCCTCCTGGGAGGGCAGCTTCCTGCAGACTCTGCTGTTGGGAGCGAGCCAGTGGCTTTCTTGGTCAGCCAGGGTGGCTTTGCCTCTTTTCTGGGGGAGCAGGTGCTCTTGCTCCTGTGTGGGTGGCTCCTGGCTGAGGTCCCCCAGTGCTTTGCGTTTGCAGCCTCAAAGCCCAGTCTGTTGCAAACCGAGCATGTGGCAGGTGGGTAGGTTCAAAAAAGTAGAGCATTCAGAAAAGAGACACACGTACAAAACTAAAAGCAGTGAAGTCAAACATGAACTTTGTAGTGTTAATCGGAAACAGACCTGATTCTGTCTCTCCTTGAAACCCTCATGCGTCTCAGTTCTACCCCAGAAATGCCTGGTAGTAGCTCTGAGAAGATGCACGCTCTGCTCTCCAAGCACTGTGCTCCTCAGGCGACCTCATGGGGCTGGGAGGGGACAGGGTGAGCCGGGGCCACCTTTGCTGGCCACAGGGGAAGTACCCAAGGCTGTGGCCATGTCCCCAGAACACAGAACCATTTGGCACGGTGGGAAACGAGGAACTCAAGAAAATGGCTGAGCAGATGGAAGTACAGAATCATAGTTAAAAATTCTGAGTTCATAAATATTTTCTAAAAAAACTTTATTACTTCTGTAGGGTGGTAGATGATCAATTCATTATTCTAAAAAGTGTGGGAAAAAAGAGCCAAGCGTTTACGCCGCCCTGGGTGTGAGAGAGGTGGTTCAGGGCAGTGAGCGGTGGTAAGAAACACTCTTCACAGACGTGGGCTCACGGTGCAGAGCCGATGCTGAGGGCGGCTCTGAAGCCCCTGGAGTGGTGCCTGGGTCACAGGCTTCAGTGGCTGCGGTGGCCCCGGGGGCGGCAGGGTCTGCACAGTTGGAGGGACGCCCTGCACCTCTGAGCTCTCAGAGCTCACTGCAGACACGGTGACCTCGTGACGGGGGTGAAGTCGACAGGGCTGCCACCCAGGGCTTTGGCTGTAGCCAAAGCTGCCTCTGGACAGGTCCCCCTCCGTCATGGTAAAGGGGAGGAAACACTCCAGAACGTGGGCACTTCACCGGATGAGAGTCGGGCGTCCCCAACAAGTCAACAGGACACTGAAGCTGCACGGTGCACCCCTGGGCCGAGTGGCACCCTCTGGAGCAGGCTCACTGGAGGAACGGGGGGGGGCCTGGGAAATGCCCCTGTGCCAGTGCATCCCAGGCAGGACGCCTGTCCCTGCCGTCTGGGCTGCCTGAGTGTTCCCTCTGCAGGAGACAGCTGTGCGGAGAGAAGCTTCAGGTCCACGTGACATGGGGGCCCTTGTTGGGAAGTGGAGACCAGGCATGGTGAAGTCTGGTGCTTTCGTACCAGGCTGAGCCAAAGGAAGGGCAGGAAGGCACACGGGGCGCAGGGACCAGGCCCGTTCGCAGCCTGCGAGTGGTCTTTCCCGCCTGGGCGCCCTCTCTGGAGAGCGCTCCTCTCCTCCCAGCAGGGGCTGCTGGGGGGGATTTCATCTCCTGCCTGGGGCGGGAGTGGCTCAGACGCTCTCCTCTGCCTGCCTTCAAGTGCCTTCAAAGGAAAAGAGCCCTGGTGCCAGGGCCAGGGTGTGGCTCCGTGGTAGAGCGCCTGCCTACCTCGTGTGAGGCACTGGGTTCAATCCTCAGCACCACATAAAAATAAAACAAAGAAGAGAAAGGTATTGTGTCCATCTACAACTAAAAAAAATATTAAAAATAAAAAGAGCCCTGGTGCCAAAGTCAAGCGTTTGGGGGCAGCTGTCCGCCCTGCTGTGGTTTGCATACGGCTTAGGATGTTCCCAGAGTTCACATGCTGGACACTTGGTCCCAGTGTGGCCTACTGGGAGGAGGAAGGGCTTGCTCAAAGTCATAGACCCCATTGGAGGGACCCTGGTTAGGGCCTGTGAAACAAGAGTGGTTTTCACAAAGAGCCAGCCTGGGCCCTGGACCCCCTCACTTCCCATCTTGCCGCTCCTCTTTTCCCCTGCCACATGCACCCCCACTGAGATGCCATCTGCCGTGTTGTGAGTAGCCAGAAGTAGCCTGAGGTCAAACTGAGGGGCCAGCTGATCTTGGGCTCCTAGCCCCCAAAACTGTGAGCCAAATCAAGCTCTTTTCCTTATACATTGCTCAGCCTCAGTCATGTTTTTATAGCAACATAAAATAGACTGATGCAGCCACCTCTCAGGTGACATTGATTTTACCAGGTCTGACCACTAGCATGCTAGTTATGCTTTAAAAAGCCCTTATTGGTTAAGATATGGACTGTGGTCTTTACAGATGAAACAATATGTTGTGTGGTTCTGAATTTAAAACATGCTGAGAAAAGGGAGGTAGATTGGGCCAGAATGTCCTTAAAAGAAGAGTGCCCTCGTGCTAAGGGGTTTGAGGCAGGACAGTTGCATTTTCGTGTTGAGCTTAGGCTTCACTCTAGCTTATTATGACTACCAAAGAATGCATCCAGGAAACAAGTGAGATGCTGAACATGTAACTAATGTGGGTAGCGTTGACTGTCCCCTGAGAATCTCAGTCATGTGGGTTAGAATGGCCATGTTGGAGCATTTCTAAAGTCGCATCACTTCTGCTTCGTCTGCGTGTCTCACCGTGTTAGCACCCTGGGCTTAGCAGTCCTCTGTGGTAGTCAATGGCTGATGGGATGGTTTTTCACAAAGAGGCCAAGATCATTGTCACAGCTGCATCAAAAAGTTCACTTGTCTCTGGAGTAGACACTTCCAAAGCCCGTGAAGGTGGCCTCCCCGTCCCTGGAGGTCCCTGGTTGCCTCCGAGCCGTCATCCCTTCACTCCTGGACTTGGGTGAGAGGGACCCTGGCCCTGGCCTTCCCTCCCCTGCCTCCCCAGCCAACCCTGTCCCTGCGGCCCAGCCTGAGGGGCCTTCTGCCTGTGGACATTCTAGCCAGCCTTCAATTTCTGGTGAGAAGATCCTCGTGAGCCAGAGGCCCGGCAGGCAGTGGCCCACCTCTCCAGGCCCCGCCAAGTCCCACCTCACCTTCTCCCTGGGACGCCTGTCCTTTCATGTCTTACCCAATCTAACAAGATGGCATTTCTTTTGTCGGGGGCGTGTGGGTCAAGTTTAAGAATCACTAGCAGGGCCCTGGCCTGCCGGCTGAAGGACTGCCTGTCACTGTGTGACCTGCAGGCTCCCAGGCTGTGCGGCTCTCCAGGGATCTGGAGGTCCGGGCTGGGTGGATGTGCAGCCAGCACTCAGCCTGCGGTAGGTCTGGATTCGCCCTAAAAACACCATCAGTGTCAGCCGGAAAATCTGGGCCCTGCCTCCTGCTTGGCGACCGCCTTGCTGGTTATTCACTTGCAGTTTTTATTTAACGTTCATCTTCCTGTTGATGATCAGACATGGGAGAGCAGAGTTCGGGCTTTGTGTCAAGCTCCTGCAGACTGCTGCCTGGGATCCCTGTTACTGCCTGACACCGACTCCAATTTCCGAATGTAGCTGGTGGGGCCTGTGGGTCACCTGACCTGGCCACATCTGCCATGGTGTGAATCGCATTCTGCAGAGGGGCTCGACAGGTCAGCGGAGTGACGCATCTGAGGACCGTCTCTCATGGCCCGAGACCCTGGGTCCTCCATGGACCACTGCATCTTCTCTAACTCTGCTCCTGACCTCAGACTCCCCTAGTCAGTCCCTGGGCTTGTGCAGAAGCAGGGGCACAGCCGCCTGCCTCCTCCGTCCTCCTTCTCCAGACCCCTCTGAGCTTCAGACCACGCATCCTGCAGCCACTGGCCTCCCATCTTAGCATGTGTGCTTCCCAACCTGAAGACGTCCAAAGCGGAGCTCCTCATGGTCTCTGTGGGTCCACTGTCCTTGTTTTCCCAGCTCATCACATGGAGACTCCAGGCCCTGACGGCCACATCTGATCTCCTGTGAATTCTGCGGTGAGCGCTCCCACGGTTTCTTTCCTGCCAGGCCACCCTCTCCCCTGCCCGACTGCTCCTGGCTTCCTGGCCGGCCTGCTCACCTGCCCAGCAGCCGTGTCCTTTCAATGCAACCTGGTCACGTCGTGGTCACACCCACTCCTGGCCGGAGCCTCTTCAGTGTGTGCTCGTGGAATTCCGCGCGCCTCGGGCAGGGCCTGCAGGGCTCTCACTCCATCCTGAAGGCTCTGCTCTGCCCGCGAGCCGATGGCCACGTCCCAGGCCCTCACCCCTTCCACAGGGGCTTCTCTGAACCCCTGCCATGGTGCCTTTCCTTGGCAACCTCGCTGCCCGCACCCCCAGTGTCTGCACACCAGCCTGCGGGTCACAGGACTGTCCACCACGCCGACTGGCAGGGTCTGTCTCCGGAGAGGGAGGCCACGTCCCCTCGCTCACGGCAGGCACTTGACATCACCCGTGCCAGGCAGGACCAGGGAGTCACAGCCCTGACTGTCACTGGATGTGGCTCCTGAGGGGTCTTCTTTCCAACCATGAAGTGGGTCTAAAAGGGGCTTCTTTAGGATCAAGATTTAGTTTTCAAATAGGAATCACTTGTGAGGAACTGAAAATTGTTTTAAGAACAAATGTGACTTTTACAGACTGTGGTCAGAGAGGGGCTTGGGTTTCTGTTTCAGGAGACGCAGGACGGAAGGGTCAGCTGCACCCAGCCGGTCCCCTGTGCTCAGCCTCCTCTCCTGTCAGCCAGTCTCCGTGTGCTGGCCCCCGATGCACGGGTGAGACCCTGCTCACCACCTCTGTCTCAGGAGCGCTCCTCCCGCAACGGCGTGCGGCTCCTCCCGCGGCTCCTCGTCAGGGCCAGCATGTGGCTGCCTGAGCACAGGCCGTCTTAGGAGCCACCCCTTCTGCAGAGTGCCTCGGGAGTGTGTGCCTTTTCTAGTGGCAGTTCCTCGTATTTTCTTATTTGATGGATACTTAAGTCATAGACCTATAGACCTAATGAATCCTACGATTGCAAGGCTGCCGGACCACCTCTCGATGTGGGCAAAGCGGTGTGCGTAGGCTCAGGTAACTGGGAGAGGGGCATCGTGTACCATATGCACCTAAAACCACATTGTGGGGGGTTGGTAGGCACCTTCCACACGACCCTAAACCATCTCTGTTCCTAAGTGCCCATGAAAAATGTAGGAAGTGGTGTCAGGTGCTAGGCCTGTGCTCCTTGCCCCACCGTCCAAGCCACATGACAGAGCAGATGGTAGATTTGGGAAGAGGTGTCGTGTTCCTGGCCTGGGGCAGGGAGGCTTGGGATTCAACCCGGGGTGCAGGGGGATGGTGGCCCTAGGGAAGGACTCAGATGAGGTTGAATAAATCAGACATGTGGAACTGGGCAACCGAAAGTGTTCCCAGTCACCCAGCATCCGTGCCGTGGACGAGAGGCTTGTCCCCTGCTGCAGACTCATGGAGGGTTGAGCTCACAGAGAGTTGGTCCAGTGCCTAGGAATCCCAGGAGGTTCTGCACCCATCATGGGAACATAGAGTGGTCCAGTGCCTGGGGATCCCAGGAGGTTCTGCACCCATCACGGGAGCACAGAGCAGTTGGTCCAGTGCCTGGGGATCCCAGGA